TTTGACCCATCCAGCCATTGAACCTGCTGCACAGTGCTTGGGCTGCTGCCTTCAAATAGGAGGCAAGCCCACCACTTGTCTTTAGGGGAGGTCTAGCCTCACTACCCCAGCAACCACTTTGCACAAGGGGCTTAGTGCAGTTCCCACTCATGCCATTCAGGAGCTGAGAATTACACTGAAGAGGCCTCTGTTCTTGAGAGGAAACTAGCCCCACATGTGTGTCAAACTTGTAAAAACTCTCTCCATTCCCTGCCCGAGTGGTGAATTAATCGCTCTTATGCAGCACTTTTCAGCAGTAGATCTCTATTGGTCCCTGAATTATCCCACCATTTCTGTTCCTGGCCGGGTGAAGGCTCTGCCAGCCTGCTACCAGGAAAGTTACAGCCTAGTTACAGTTGGAATCTTTGCTTGCTTCCATTAGATGACGAGTATTAAAGAACAATCACCAAACAATCTTCCTTGGTTTGCCTGGTATGTACACTGAGAGCTCGGTGTAGGCCACCAGTGCTGACTGTGCCAAGATGGGCTGAGCTGCTTCCATTTTAAACTGTCTGCAGCTGAAGTGCACAGACTGGACTGGTAGAACGCCCTTGGTGAGGACAGCACTGCACGAACCTTAACCAAAGGCAGCTGCATAAAGGATGAAAGTCCAAACTAACCTACCTCAAATATGCAACAGGTTGGGGTACATGCGTTTCCCAGTATTACACATTATGACCTACAGCCTGGGGCACTTGTCCTTTCTGTGGGGCTTGCAGCAAACTTGCACTCTAAGCACTAAATCCATTCACCTTTGCAAAGCTGTTAGAGCACCAATGCACCTGTGTGGGGTTTTTTTTTAAACAATCCTTCCCATTTACTCTTTCTAATCTGCCCTGGGAAGGCCAACGGCACAGATGGACCTTGGGAGTTGTGGTGCTGTACGAAGGACAAAGCCAGCACCAGTCTCAGCAGTCTACAGCTTTCCATCCCAGGTCGTGTCTGTCATACATGTTTTAAGCATAATGTCAAATGCTGCTCTCAACCACGTTTTGTTTCTCAGTAGCCAGCTCACCTTGACTGCAGCTGTGTGTGAAAACAGCTCATTACATCCTCATGCTGCTATGGCTGACTCTGCCCTGCCTGTGGGGCAGCTGTGAGAAATAAGGTGTCTGGAGTGGCCTCCAGCCACTACTGTCGGATTTAAATGCATGTGCATCTGAAGTAACATCATATAAAACTAGCTCTTACCAAGGGAGGCCTATTAAATAGCTTCAGCGGAGGCTAGATGCCAGTCCCCATGTCTTGTTGCAGGGCCATGGATCGCCTCCTCCTCCCATCTTGTGCACTCACTTCAGCAGCTCTCACATGCGAGGCTTGAGGCAGAGGTCTGCTAGCTCGGCTCTAGAAAGCCACTTAAAATAGCCCCCTGTAGCAGTCAGTTGCTTGCTGAGAGCCTGCAGAGCGTATGCAGGACCATGAGCCCCGCCAAAAAGCTTGTTTGAAGCAACCCTTCCTGCCCATCAAGAGCCATAGCCCACCCTGTCTCAGTTTTGCAGAGACAGCCAACAGGGCCATGACTTGACTTGGATTTCTGGCTGATATTTCAGCATTGACAGGGTTTGAATTTGGGTTAGTACTGATGAGGAAAAATGGTGACAATTCAGCACCAGACATCTGGTGCTCTTCAGTTACCACTTCCCATTCTTGGAACAAGCCATTTTTCAGTCCCATTTTACAGGGGGGGGGGGAAGGTGGCTCGAACATGCCCTAAGGCCACAGGCCAAAGCTGCTTTCGGATGAGGGAGTTCCTGGCTTTCAGCACTGTGATTAACACAAGAGGTCATCCAGACATACGCAAACCCTTTTATGCTCCATCTTCATTCACTCCACCCACTAAAGGAAAAGCACACACTGGTAAAAGCAGCCTGGAGGCATTCCCCTTGGGTGCTGGGGACACAATAAGCCGATGCCCATGTACAGTAAATAGGAGAAACTTTATTTTGTTACAAAAGTAAAAGGCATGAATGGATTTCAAACCCTACCAGACTGGAGCCTAGCTGAGAAGGGGTGGGGTCTCACACGTTTACACTAGCTCACTTTTACAAACCCTACTTGGTTTGCCAGTGGCTGCTGGAGTGTCAGAGCATCCAGCCTCCTCCCCCTCTTTTCTGCTCTGTCCTTTCGAGAAGGCGGATGGCAGTAGCGGAAGAATCTATACAGGGACTGCAAATGTCACTACTGAAACTACTGCTGCACTTAATCCCTTCCTCTAAACTAGTGTATCCCAAGACACAGAACTTACTGGTAAGTGTTTGAAAGGTGAACTCTTAACACACACTAACTACCTCGGAGACAGGAGAGTCCTTTGCCTGCATACATATGGTGCAAGCAGTTCACGGCTGGGGAGGTGGCCTGCTGGCCAGCTCTGGCAGAAATTCTGCTTCACAAGGCCACTGTTCCAGCTGTGAACACACCGCACTAAACCTGGTAAAGTCTCACGTGCCTGCTCATCTAAGTAACTATAATTACATCTTCAGTCTCTTGTGGGGGAGACCCCATCACTGCAGAGTAAGGCTAGTTCCCAGGAGCCAGCAATGGCCTTGGTTCAGTTGCACGAGTCTCTTTCCAGCAGCAGGAGACGGTAAAAACTCCAGTTATTGCACTCAGAACAGATGCATTTATGGCTTTATGCTTCCAACCCACGGGACAGAAGAGCGTGCCAGCACCACACGTGGGTTTGGAAAGGCTTTCCCACCTGCACAGCGGCTTTCCCCCCTCTCTTGCCACGGGAGGGACCGAGGTGCAGTAGCGTAGCCCCGGTGTGGGGAGGCACAGGCGGTGGTAATGGCTGCTGTTTCAGGTATTATCCATGTCCTCAGGAGCGCTTTAGTCCCCTGAACGTACTGGATTTCCCCCCGTCAGTGCAGAGAAAGGAAAGTGGAGGAGAGAAAGAGAGGGTTAGTACAAGACATCCCAGAGTGAGAGTCAGGTAACAGGAGCGAAAGCAGGAGTGGATCCTCCGAGCCAGCTACAGGAAATAACCGAACAGGCTGGGGTCAGATGAGGGCCAGTCCTGTGTTAGCAGCACAAGCGAGGCTCCGCCAATGCTCTCCTCAGGAGCTAAAGCAGCTGCCCTCTGGTAACACCCACACCCAGCAAGCGCCAGCTGTTTAGACCCCTCAAAACAAGACAGGTAAGTGAGTACTTACTGAGCAATCTCTCAAGCATCATGCAGTAGGAGAGGGGGTGATTAGGAGACTATCACATGAGCAAGACAGCACTCAGCAGGGAGAGGAAAATGAGGGGGCAGGGGTATCGCTTCCCACAATAATAACGGAGCAAGACACATGCAGCCACCACTAGACACTCTGCAGGTGTGTAACTATCTGTTTACACCACAGCTGCTAGGCCATGACTTCCTTTGCACCCACACCTGTTGTGGCTAGCACACGGGAGAGACCACCAGCAGCACCAGCTGTGGAACAGGCTGCAGGGGTCACTGACTGTGTGTCATAAATACAAACTGTTCTATGGCCTGTGCTGGGAAGACGGGGAATAGACACGGGCAGGGTCCATCACGCTTCCTGGCAGCTGCGCATTATCAGTGCTCCCCTTCTGGCGGACACTAGCTCATCAGCGGTGTGTGGAAGGAACAAGAAGGGCAGTTAGGCAAGCGTTAGCAGGGCTGTCCTTGCAGAATCTCCAGCCCTCGTCACTGAGTAATAAGCACTGATGTAATACTACATTCTCTTCAAAGCACTTTTACAAATTACTCACCTGTGTCACAGGCATGTTGAAGGATGAGTTTCATGTTACAGAGAGGAAAACAGGCACAGAAAGGGGAAGTGACTTAGTCACAAAGTGCATCAGTGACAGAGCCAGGATTACAAATCTGTTCCTGGCTCCCAGTCCTGTGATCATGCCACACCTTGCTGTAAATGTCACACCACTGCATCAGCAGGACTTCTCTTCCACCCAGAGCAGCATCTCGTTTGCCATGGCTAAAAGCCACCACTGCAATCCATCCCATCCTCTTTGCAGCCACCATTCAGGGCTTAAAGCCCTACTGCCCTAACCCTTCTGTCTGTGCATCCCATCTCCCTCCAAACTAAGTCCAATCGACACTACTCTCTCAACCCTAAGTGCTCTAGTAACAACTGGCCTAAATCCAAAGTAATGCACGGCAGCTCTCAGCCAAGCACTTCTGCTCTGCCTTCACTCAGTCTGCAGTGCAGTGCAATGAAAGCTTACTTAATCCTCTGCAAGGCTGGGGGTAATTTACCTACCTACCACACAGCCTCACACGGCTCACTGCCCATCACTACGTTGGAACGCCAGTAGGGTTCTTGGCACACACTACACACCAATGCCTACACAAACCAGAGGGTAGCTGGGGCTCGATGTACAGAGCAAACCATGCAGTGAGGATGAGATGAGTCACTGGACTGGGGAGAGAAGAAGAAAGTGCTCTCTTACCAACTACCCCTCAGAAAGCAGGGCTAACATCCAGAAAGGGGGGTGTTAGATCCCATCAGGCTGTGCAGGAAATGGCAAAGTCCTGGCAGGCATCCTCCTGGGGAAGACACCAGAGATTATGCACTTCAGCATCCACTGGCAGGGACAGAGCAGACTGCCTCAGCGACAGAGCACTCTGTCTCAGGCTGCTCTCAGATCCTGGGACAGCACTGGACTGGGTTAGAGGGAGAGTGGGATGGGAGAAGGGTGCTTAACTTAAGGCCTCTGTAGGAAGATGCAGTTTGAGCTGTGTCAAATTTCAGCAGCCGAATGATGAAACCCCGAGAAACCATATGGCCAGACCAAGTTGCTGGGGTATGCAGCTATGCATACCTTCCAGCCTGGTCCTGCGGGAAGTGATTACAGTGGGCAGGCAAGACTCGCAGCTGGAAGAAGCCATCTAACCTTAATTGGATGGACAGAGAATCATTACTCACCCCACTGCAGAAGCTGAGGAACATGCCTCCGAACCAATAAAAGGAAACAAACAGATCCCCAAGCAGTTAACTTTAAAAATATAACTTTATTACAGCAAATAACAGGAGAGACCGGTTCAAATAGAAGTGAGAGAGTTTGCCTCCCTCTCCCTCCTTCTGAACTCCTGTAGGAGGCAGGGTCAGTTTTCCTATCCCATCCCATCAAAGCTGCAGCCTCTTAGAGTGTAGCTTTACTGACCCTCTACACTCCATCTGCCTGTCCTACCATTACACAAGCAATGAAACACGGCATCAGGGCCAGGGGAGAGTTAGTGCGCCGGCTATTTGTGGCTAAGGGAAGACAGACGGTAACTGCTGTGCGGGATAATTTCTGGAAAGGAATTTTGGAGTGTTGTTTTCCAGACACAGCAGCAGCTTTTTACACTGTTGCATTGATCCGTCTGGGGTGAAGATCAGTCTAGGAGCAGCAAGGCACATGAGCTGTAGCCTGGTGTGTCAGCTGCCCTGCCAGCCTGCCTCACCCCTGAGCTGCCAGGGTCACCCCCAGGGCTCAGGTGGTAGTTTATTCTACATGCTGGTACCAACCCTTCTTCACCTCAGCTGCCAGCAGTGGGAAACATTAACATGGGGGGTGTGTGTGTGAGGATACTTCTCTGAGAAACAGCTGGTAAATGCTTTTGGTCACTAACAATAGGGGCTGGCTTTGGACTAGACACCCTGCTGGAAAGGGGACTGACTGAGAACAGCATATGAAGCCCAAGTCGTCCAGTCCCCAGCCACACCTATAACAGGGCAGCAGCACCGCCAACCCCTGGCTGTACTTTCAGATCAGTCCACTGACAACAGCACCCCTGCCATGCCCAATCTCACTTGAATACTGAGCCAGAAACATGAAGCAAAAGGAACATTTACAGGGTGGAAGGAGCAGATTTTTAATCAAATCTCCAAAAAGGAATGGTTTGAAATCGTCCAATATTCTTCTCAGCTAAAGCTTCTCTCAAAGCCCCACCTAAAACCACTGCCTTCTGCAAGAAGCCTGCAGCATGTAAATGCAGGCCCAAGTTCCCAACCCCAGGACGTGGGTGGTGGAGGGGCAGGGCACATCTCATGCACTGCTCTTTGAACAGTCAGGATTTGTGACATTTTCTGGCCAGCAACAAAACTGGGCTACAAAAGAGTGCCAAAAACTAGAGAGGAAGGGAATGCATGGAATGTGAGAACACCATGTTGGGGGGTGCATTTAAATATTGTCCCATTGAAGTTCACCACTGCTCAACAGACTGACTCACAGGGTAGGGCAATGAGGGGTGCCTTAAGCAATACCAGCCCCTTCCATGCACCCTATGTTTTCCTTAAGTTTGCAGCAGCTGGCAATTCTCTGCTAGGGTGCTGTCATTCACAATGTGCAAAGCAGAATACAGGGGAATACCTCTGTGACAATCTGCCCCCCAAATGCACTGATTAGTGATGAAAGCACAGGTGAGAAAGATGAAAGGGCTTTGGGTCCGATACATACTGCAACGCCCAGGGGTGTCTAACCAAGTGGCTTAACACAGAACAAACACTGCAAATCTCTGCCCTGGTGCCAGGGATACGTACAGCGCTATCTACACCGACACACAAAAAAATACTACCTAGAAAAAAATTTAAAAATTGTGCAAAAATACCCAGCAGCTTTTAATAAACGCATTTCAAGTATTGCTAATGTGTCTGTAACTCTCCTACACACACTCGCCAGTGTCAGTAATCCACAAGGCAGACTGGTGAACACCTGGTAAGGAGCAGCAACAGATATGGTGCCACCCTGGGGCAGACAGACTCAGAGGAATCATTCCCAGAGGGCCAGCAGGTGGCCCCACTCTCTATTCTACTGGCCGGGAATCCAAACCAAGAGCAGGCTAACTGACACCAGCACTCAGGGTAACCCAATTTGGGCAAGCTGTGCCTCTTCAACACCAACATTGCCATTAAAGCTCTTTACACACAGAGCCCACTCACGCTTTAGCCACCTAGTGTTGGGCAGAGATCTAACAGGTTATCATTTAAGGGCAACATCTCGCAGTTAAACCCACAAAATGCTTTGCTTATTTTGTTTCTACCAATTAAAACTAAGAGCTCCTCTGGGCTGTATCCTTGTCCCTGCATGGCTTCTTACTAGCTGAAAGGGCTACAACACTAGGAAAGGTTGGTCAGCACCTTCTCCGTGACCAGGTGAGAGCCAGCACTCAACAGCAACTGGGATGGCACATCTATTTCCCTGCCTATGTTCAGTGCCCCATAGGGGTCTGGACCCTCAGCGCTCTCCCCAGCATCTGGGAAAGGGAATGTCATCCCAACCAGCCAGCCTCAATTCTGAAAAGTACTGGTGCTGCTGGGAAAGGGACGCTACATATTCCACAGGCCCAGATGGGAACGTAGTTTATACTGACACATGAAGCTGCCCCTCACACTGCTGGGGCAGAGACGGAGGAGGCATTTGTAACGACAACAGGGAGACCCAGCTTTCAGCCTTCATCGTCCCCCAAAACCCAACCCCCATTCTAGAATGGAGCACAGGAGATGGGACATGGGCTGTGTCCACCTCCCCATCCTCAGCCTCCACAAGGCACCGCAGCCCATTCAGCTAATCCCCGCAGGAAAGATGGCAGGTCTCTGGAGCGGACACTCCAAGCTTGGATGGTTCTGAGAGGTTGGGGTTTCCCAAGCAGCCCTTCTTGCTTCCCAGCTGTGGTTGGAACCCCTCTCCCTGGCTGAGGCCAAGGTCTTGCTCGGCATCAGGCTGTAGCAGTTGAAAATCCAGGTAAGCCACATCACAGTGAAACAAAAAAAATAAATAAATAAAAAGGTAATGCATGGCTTGACTGAGTCTTTGGCAGCTCTGCACCACAGGGCTGTCTTGCCTGAGGTCAGGGAGATCACGGGAAATGTACTGACTGGAGCTAGGCACAGGCCCTGGACTATATCACAGCACCACTAGGGAATGCCTCCTACCATGCTGGTGTCAGTCTTGGATCCAAAGGAGGGGATTTCACTCTTGGGACTGGACGGGGTCCCGGCATCAGGCTGGATAAATCCTCTTCTGTCTATTAAACTAGAAAACAAGATGGAAAGAGAGAGGAGAGGTTAAAACACCAACGTTCATCACGAAACAAACCCCTGAAGCTGTGTGCTAAGCCAACCAGTGATGCTGTAAAAATGAGCTGCTAACACCTGTTGAATCAACAGTATAATACTGGTGCAAAAACGGTGAACCCAATGCTGGGATGCATTAGCAGGAGTGTCATAAGCAAGACACGAGTAGTTGTTCTTCCATCCTACTCAGCACCAATAAGTCCTCCATTGGAGTAGTGTCTCCAGTTCTGGGCACCACGCTTTGGGAAAGATGTGGACAAATTGGAGAAAGTACAGAGGAAAGCAACAAAAATAATTAAAGATCTAGAAACATGACCTACAAGGAAAGACTGAAAAAAAGTGTGTTTGTTTAGTTTATGGAAGAGGAGACTGAGGAGGAACACGATAACACTCCTCAAATATGTAAAAGACTGTTATAAAGAAGAGGGTGATAAATTGTTCTCCCTATCCACTGAGGACAGGACAAGTAGCAATGGGCTTAAGTTGCAGCAAAGGAGATTTAGGTTAGACAGGAAAAACTTCCTAACTGTCAGGATGAGTAAGCACTGGAACAAATTGCCTAGGGAGGCTGTGGAATCTCCATCAGTGGAGGCCTTTAAGAGCAGGTTGGACAAACACCTGTCAGGGATGGTGTACTGTAGATAATACTTAGTCCTGCCTCAGTGCAGGGGACAGGCCTAGATGACCTATCAAGGTACCTTCCAGTCCTACATTTCTATGATTCTCAGGGATTTCAAAGGCAGGAAGCAAACCCTGACAGCATTTGATCATTAGCACTGGATAGCTGTGCCTGCCAGCACTGTCCAAAGTGTAGGGAATTTGAATGCAGGCAGGAAAATCCCCTCGGCCAAATCTCATGAGGGCGACTGGAGAGAGGGAACAGACTCCGCACACAGGAAAGCACTTAACTATGGCTCAGACTTTTCTTGTGCACGTTTTTAAACATTTGTTGCTTAAAACTCAAGGTGACCGGCAAGGCTACACGCACCCACCTGAGCCCAAAACACTTAGCACTCTGGGCAGGAAGACGTTTCTTCAAATCTCTTGGTGTGAGCTGAGTGCACCTGGAAGCTGCAAGCTTGTCCGCCCTGGACAGTCAAGTCCCCACTGCAGCCACAGAACCAGTACCATAGTGACAGCAGCAGGGTAAGCTTCCCCAAGTCCTGCTTGTGTCTTTGTGGGGACTGCCATACAAAGTGTCAGTGGGAGGATGGATGACATGGGTTCCTGACCACTCAGAACTAGAGACAACTTTGTGTCACTACTATGCTAGGCTGGAGTTGGAGAGGCCCCCTACAGCAGGAGCGAAATACTATTATCCCATTAGCAGTCATCTACCTCACAGTGCTCTCATCATGTTTAAATAGATTAGCTCACTTACTGCCATGGACTCCATAGTAACAGTAGCACTGAAAATGACAAGAACCTTGGGAAGTACTTTAGAGGGGAAAAAAAACCCTCCTTAAATCATGGTGTAACAGCCCTCTTGAGCACAGGTTAAGCAACAGCAGACCTTCCCTGTATTATTTCATTACACTTACATTAGGTTAGTATTTCTGGAATGCTCCCAGTAAGTTCAAATTGGTTCCTTCCAGCAAAAGAAACACTGTCTCAAACCTGCCTGGAACATTCAACAGGCTGAGAGCTACAAAATGTGCGTTGGGATTGAACTCCCAACAGCCCAACACAAGAGATTATTTTAAATTTGCCCAACTGCGCCCTCATGTGACTAAACCATGGTAGTTTTATTTTGGGATGGGGTTAGATTCATAGCTGTTAAAGCCAGAAGGGACCATTCTGATCGTCTAGTCTGAGCTCCTCAGTTGGAAGGTGTTCAGTAGGACAGACCCAACATGGGGTTTTTGGTTGTTTTTTTTGAAAGTTACAAACCAGGTTTCATTAAATGATTTTTTAAAATGGAAATACAGTTTAAGCAGTGAACAACATTGCCCCATGAACTCTGCAACCCAGGACCCTGCACCCTGCCCAGGGAAGAGCAGAGGGTGGAACTCACTGTTCTTGTTTCATTATCCAAAACCAGTGAAAAACAAGAAGCAAATAAGCAAAGATGAGGAAATGTTTGGCATTATTCCTTCCTGCTTTAATGACAGTTGCAAATAATTCACAGGTAAGGGAATTTGTCAGGATCAAATTAAACAGGAAATCATTGTGTCCTTTTAAGGCAAGAGTCTCCAAATTGTCTGACGAAGGACAGCATTGGCTACTTGCCAGAAGTCTAAGGTTTCCAGCATACTGCATAAAATGGAGAGGATTGCAGTCAACCCCATCTCTGATAGAGGTGAAGACCTCCACAAGACCACACATCCCAGCATGCAATGCTCCATCTTGATCTGAAAAGCAGCTGCAAGATGCATGTAGAATTCCAGCCACTTAGAGATGACCTGGTGGGCTGGAAGGGGTTTTGATGCTGGTTTTTCACCTTAGAAATATCAGGAATGTCAAGTCTGCTCTCACCTGGAGATCCTAGAGCTGTATCAAGAGCACATTTAGCAAGAGCCCTCCTGCCTTCTTTGACAAGTGAGGAGTGAGACAAAGCTCTCGCCCTCAGGCGGTCAGTTAGTCATGGAAATTAAAGATTTGTTCAAAAATAAAATAAAGAGCTTTATTTAACCAGTCTAAAATCTGTACTCTCCCGAACACTCAGCTTTCACTGCCTTGAGTCTGGTGAGAGTGTCATTCCACTAGTTCTCCGGTCACCAGACGCTGCCAGGGCAGACAAGACCTGTATTTGCAGTGTAAAAACAAGAGTGAAGAACTTCTCCATCATCTAGAAGCCAGATGTATTGAGAAGTCCATTGCAGGGCACCTTTAAGCCCAGGGTTATTCCTTATGTCGTGCTAAAGCTCACAGGATGCATCCTTTAGCCCTCCTGAGGTCCTTAGGGCACTGGATTTTTAAATGTCTAAAGAGGAAATGCTAATCTAGTAAATATTTCCATAGCAAGCGATTACCATTAGCTGCCGGGCCCTCCTGTAATGGGCATATCCCACCCTTACTACACTGCAGGGGGATATTCCAGTTGCACTCAGTTTACACCCTACAATGAAGTCTGGAGTGCCCTGAACTAAGCAGATTTAAATTGATGAAAAGTAACAGTCAGCACCCGCCTGTACATTTACCTATCCTCTGGGCCTGAGCCTCAGAATTACCCACCCCACCCGAGAGCCCTGTGCCATCGCTTTGGCCTGGCTCCTGGGAGCCAGTATTAACCTCTCCTGTCTCCACCTCCACATATGGCTGCTGTGTCAGGGCAGGGTGCAAGTCCCGAGTCCAGTGAGGATCGGAGGCTCTTACCTGGGATGGAATGGCCCACACAATACTGCACAGCAGTTGGTGAGGATACTCTTATGGCTGTAGGGATTGGCAAACTCTGAGCCTCTCTTATTTGACCACGACCCTTTGATCTGCAATTGAAAGGACATAGGCTGATTAGAAAGCGACAGCCTGGTGAGAGGGGATGGAGATGGTCAGTGCACTGCCCAGGTCACACGGGAGGGTGTCTTGGACAGTATCATCCACACATTGCTTGAAAAGCCCAGGTCTGAAGTGACAGAAGTGTCCCAAGTCAGGGCAGAGGGGTGTGGAGCTCTGCACTGTGCCCCATAACACGGCTCTCGCTTCCCTGACCTCTAAATCCTCTCCACAGCAGTGCGGCAAGCTGATAGAACGTCCCTGTGCGAGACATAGCTTCCCCCACCCATTGCACCAAGCAACCTTTAGCTGGCCTTCTGCAGCTCGCGTCCTCTCTAGAGCAGTTTGCCCTTTTGCCTTTGCCCAAGCTTAGTCTCAAAGTCGCAATGCCCACTACTTACACATTTCCCACACCATGTACTATGCATCACACTTTGTCTAGTGGTTGTAAACCCCCCACCCTCCCATCCATCTGTTTCACTTTAGTCATTTCTTGTTTGCCAAATTTAGACTGAAAGCGCTTCCAGGCAGGGGCTTATTTCTGGAAAGCACACAGTGCACTTACAGAGCTAAGCTAACAGCAAGAGGGTTCATAGGCAGCTCTGTTAATGTAAAGAAACCCTTTAGTTTCTTCATGTTGAGCCGCCACAGGAGCCTGTTTAAGGAAACACTGTTGCCTTGAAATCTTAGTCATGTAAGCTGTAGGAATTAGATGGTGTTCCAGATCCTACCTCTGCCCCTGAGCCTCGGCCAGCTTGTGTACAATCACACTTCCCCTTTTTACTTCCTTTCCCCAGCTGCTGTGACAAACAGGCCAGTCAAGCAACACGGGAAACCAACAGACTATGCACCACAGGCTCAGTCACGCGGTGTAACTCCCATTGACTTCAGTGGGAATCTGCTGTATAACCGAGAGCAGAAATTGCCCCAAAGTGCTGTTAAATGCACTAAGTAAAAGAGTAGAGAAACCATTCTCTCTGAGACAGCAATTGTGTCACTTGTAACAACAAGGTGGTACAAATATTTCAGACAGAAGTGTGATCTTCAAATCCCTTTAAGCAACCAGACAGACACAAACAGCTATGCTATCTAGATACTTATCAGACCCCCATTACAGTAGTATCTCAGCATGTCACAACCTTTAATACATTTACCTTTATAACACCCCTATGTATCAACTCCCTTTCATAGAGGAGTAATCAAGGCAGAGAGAGAGAGACAATGGGACTTGCCCAAGTCACACAGGAAGTCTGTGGCAAGGAAAGAAACTGAATCAAGTAATGGCCACCCACTCAGCCTCCTTCCTCCCTACTGCTTTCTCCGTGGTCCAAATATTAACAAAGGACACATCTAGACTGGGAAACAGGTCATGCTTCAAAACATGTTAAGCTCTCATGTTTTAACTAACACGATTTTAAACAGGACTTTGCGTCTAGCGTACCCAAGGTAAGTCCTGTTAACAAATATGTTAGCGGGTTGTGGTCCATCTTAGGGGCAGCCCAAAGGTTAAAGGGTATTAGCTAGTATTTTAAAATATGACCTCTTTTCCTAGTCTCCACACAGCCAAACAACACACACTGCTCTCCCTTTTGAAACCTGTGCACTCTGCCGGGGTGTGCATACACTGGCATGCTCCGCTGGGCTACTCGAATTAGAGGATAAACTCTGGGGGCATCCCAAAGGTGCTGTCTTTAATCTGCTCTGTAATAAAGTGCCACAAGCACCTAGGGCCTGTCAAGATAACCTCCTCTGACACACTGCTGCAGAGACAGCAACAGAATTTTGGCTGATCTCTTCATTGCTTAGAAAGGAATGGGCTTCATGCCCAGAGCACCTTTCTGGTCCCATTCTATGGAAGGAGAGACACACGGCTACTTACGTCTTCATTCGTCGTCAGGTTGGAGGCGACTAGGTAAGTGTGAAAACCTGAGAGGCCCAAAATAGACCAGACTGAGAAAAAACATATCACCAGCTCCAGCACGGTGGAAAGAGAGTCAAGGAAGCCTCCAAAAACCCCCACACACACACAGAAAGCAAGGAGAGGCCTCAGGCCCAAGTAATGGATGAGTCAGTCACTGGAGGCACTCTCAGCAACTGTGAGGACTCTCAGTGGGGGGCACAAGCACAGGGACTTTGCGAGGGTCATAAAGGGCTCAGCAAGGTGCCCTTGCTTTTGAGTGGCTGGCTGAGACTCCTAGCAAGGAAATGGACTCTCACCCCTACCCCTTCCATTGGGGAAAAAGGGTCAGCCCTGGCTATAGCAAGGAGAGTGCATTCCAGCCAACAAAGCAGGCATGCAGCTTCCTTCCCACTGTCTGTGCTATTCTGCGAGTGCCCATCAAGGGAGAACTCACTACAGCCAATTTAGTCACATCCCCCCTTTTCCCTGTGTCCTCCCACGTGTCAGAAAGGGAGCTTGTTTCCAACCCTCGTCTGTGCATGACCAAGCACATGTACCATGTCTGGCAATGGAGAAAGAGACTGTGTCTTGAACAAAGGGTCTCACCAGCTTGGCTACAGGATCACCACCTCCTCCTGTAAATGCAGAGAAGTCTGCCCGTCCCCCACTGTGGTGTAAGGAGGCTACGTGCATTAGGGTTTGTAAAGTACAGTGAAATGTCCTGACAGAAGGGGCTGTAAATCAGAGAACACTTTTCAGAGAGCTATAGCTTTAGTATCTCTGCTCCAATACCCTGCAGGGATCCAGCTGTGTCAGTGTACAAAAAGGGGAACAGATGGGAAGGTGCAGGCTCTAAAAGGATATCTCGCCGGTGTTGCCTTCAGAGTGGTGACAAATCCACTTCCCTGAGAGCCTACAAAGCAAACAGGACAAAGTATTGAATTCAAGAAGGCTCATTTACATCTCCAGCCAATTTATCCTGCTTCAAAGTACACACCCATCCCAAAAGGCTTCATGGATCTGCCCAGCTGACTGAGAAACCCCCACAGTCTAGATGCTGGTGTGCAGCATGCGCTCCAAGAGGTTCAGGGGCTGAAAAGCAAGCTGCCTTCTATCAGAGGCCATGACTAGACGTAGATGCAATGTACACATACACCTCCAACCCACCGCAGCCTTGACATACTCTGTAACCTACTTGCTACGGAGGGAAATAATCCACTCACCAAAACTCTCAAACTATTTTCTAAAATAAGGTTTACAGTTCACTACTGCAGCCCTCGACCAGTTCATCCAGATGACCCAGCAGTGAAAGGCCCTGAATCTCGCCATCGTCACCTGAGCCATCCATCACCTAGTCTAATACAAACTTAGAGGCTGCTTCCCTGGATGTGCGAAGCCAGGTGCCCGTGGTGATGGCCTGAGGGCGAGGCACGTGTTACTCACAGCAGCCACGGTACTTACGCAGAGCGAGGTGGGTGACAACACAGGCGAAGATGAAGGCCGTCAGGAAGGAGAGGGAGAGGATGAAGGCGTAGAAGTAGCGATAGTTGCGCTTCCCCACACAGTTGCCTACCCAGGGGCAGTGGTGATCAAACCGCTCTGAAACCAGGCAGCAAGAGAAGGTTATTAGCGCATCTTACTCCCCACACATGGGTGAACACTGCAGAGCCCCTGGGAACCTCGGGGCTACAAGCCAGCCCTTTGCCCTATCCTTTAGATTTTAGCCCAGTACCTCGGAATGACAGGACACCGTCACTATATTTATATAGTGCTTTGCATTCTGTATGTGTGCTCGTCTTTAACTTTATAGGGACACCAACCTTAAAAATCACTTTGCCCGAATACTGATCTAACTAACCGTGGTTTCTTGTAACACCTACAATTACTAAAACTGAAAGACATTAGAGAAAATGCATTTCTATGTCTTCAGTCTGTATACTTTGTACATTTGATAGAACTGTGGGGACTCAGTTTCACTGTTCCCTTGCATTAGTCATTTCCCCTATTCATGTGAAGAGAAAAAGCATTTTAAAAGTTAGGAAAATTTGACTGTAAAGCCACAAAGACTGGCAAGGGAACCCAGGGCAGATGCAATATACCTGAAAATACTTCTGACTCTTAAAAGAATGGACTAGATTTCAAGTTGGCAGGGCCCTTTCAACAACACACACACCGCTTTACCCACCACTGAAATGCAGCCACCTCTGAGGTGAAACATATCAACTCTTTCACAGCTTATGGTAACATAACCTAAGAGTTTCATACAGGACGTGAAGAATATCCTATCCAGTTGAAACCGCAGGGGGAATTTAGGATGGCAGAATGAAATTACCCACATGGAAATTTTGCCAAGACACATGGGTTAACATTCCTACGCTAGCAAAAAAAAAGTACCAAGCCATCTTTTATAACCACAAGCGGCCAGGACCTCCAACTTAGGTTTCACCCACAAAACTGTAACTCTAGCAGCCCAGCACTGCTTAATACTACGGTGAGGCTTTGGTTCAGAAGGAAGAATGCCAGCTACTAAAACCTGAAGCATCCTGGAGGTCTCCCATTCAAGTAATGCTCAGGCCTGACAAAGCTGGGTGGGGCTGCATCCTGTGCCACCAAGTGACACTCGCTGATGTCAAGCCTCATCCTTGAAAGCCATTCAATAGTGCCTCAAACTCCCTGTCTTTGAGCTGTCTTCTTTAGAAAGGTGACCTTGAATTTTGTGGTAGTTCTCAGATCAGTAATTTCATCTGTCTCCAAGCTGCCCCAGCATCCACAACTGTTAGTGCAACATGCTGATTTGAACAGAAGGTTGCACCCATAGGTTAATGAATGAATTAATTAATGACCATTAATAAAGTAACAGTGTGCTCAGTGGACCTGCCATTCACCTATACTCCACCATCCTGCCCACACGTCACACCAGACTGACAGCTTTTTAAACTGCTCCTCCAGAGACTCTAGACTATGCAGGAATCTCACTGCCACACCAATATCTCCTGCTGCATGCCAGTCCCTCTCACATCTGCCAGTTTGGCTGTATCCAACCCTTTTTTTCACTCCTTCATTCAGCCTCCAGCTCTCCCTCCCATCTAGCACCAGGTGCCATGGGGCAGAAGGGCTAAGATAGAACATATGCTGGCCCCTCTGCTTCACATTCGCCATGACTGCAACACAGAGTGGCCAAGGGAACAGAGATCCTGCAGCTTTATTTCATACCCAGATGCTTGGCGGTAGGTTTAAATAGGAGATATGCTGCGTTTCACCTGTACAATCCTACCTCGTACTGTTGGAGAGGGCATTAGAGCACAGCACCTGCTGTGTCCTGGCCCACAGGCCACTGTTGGCACAGTACATATCTGTCATTAGTTTGAAGTGGGAAGAAGGGAGAGAGATTATTTTATCACAAGTTTGTTATTTAGTTTTCAAGCCCTTTATGGTGAAGCAGAAAGGTTTTTGCTCAAGAGCTTAAATTAGAACCCCATTTATCTATGCAGATTTCACCTGCTCCTGAACCCCTTGGACTTACCTACACAGTTATCACAAACACTGCAGTGAGAGGTCCGGGGGGGTCGGAACATTTTGCAGGTATAGCAGTACTTTAATTTCACCACGTATTTGTTTATAACCACTTCCATTGTCCGGGCGGGCGGGCGGTAGGTGGAGGTGCCCATGCTATCTGTGGAGTGAGAGTGAAGTGGGGAGAGTCAGACTCGCACAGGCCCATTCCACATGGCACCCCAGCCACTGGGGCCTTGCTCCCCTCTTGCATGGCACAGCTCTGGCTGGTATGCAACTGTGCGGTGCTCATACATATCCAAGCTGAACACTGGAGAGGCAGCGTGATGGAGGGGACTGAGATCAAGATGGGAAGCCAGGACCCCCAGAGCTCTAATCTCAACTCTGTCCATTACTCAGAGTGTTATTTAATCTTTGTGCCACAATTTCCCCTTCTGTTCAAAAGGGATGACCCTTGCAGGGCTGCTGAAAGGAATTAACATCAGTCACACTTTGAAAATCAGAGGCACTATATACATAGTAAGCATTAAAGCAGCACTCTAACACACCTGCTAACATTAACACATCTCTAGAACACAGAAGGAGGAAGCAAAGCTCCTCTCTAACAGTTCTCAACCAAAGGAAGTAACAAGCTGTTAACACACGTGTGATTCTTCTACAACCGTTCTGTGCACCAGCAGCACAGCTACAGTTAAGGAGCAGTAGCCTTTGGGGGGCATCGTCATGGGAAGCCCTGTCCTTGCTCCCCATGTCCCCTGAAGCTAGCAGGGGCTCAGCTCCAGCAGGTGGCCTGGAGCTCAGGCTTGCAGCCAGGGGCTGGGGCGGCTCAGGCTGGCCCGGGGTCGGCCAGCTGGCCGTGGGGGAAGGAGGGAAGGAACAGGGGCAGCTCTTGGCTCTGGGCTGCTGGGGGTGGGGGTCGCTCAGGGCTCCGGCTCGCAGGGCCTCAGGCAGAAGGGGAGTGGCCAGGGAGCTAGCCTTCCTGAAGGGGAGGTTCACCCACCGCCTATGGACAGGGTGGCTTAGGGGCACAGTAGGCTTAGCAGTAGAATTGTGGGCAAGATGGAGGGGTGATCTCTTGACTGTTTCAGACAGATTCCATTGAAGTTTGATACATACTAGTAGCACAAATGGAATTTACTTCCTCCAAGGCCATGGTTGGAGATTTTTCAGGACACTGCAAGATACACTTGTGCATGTAGCCAGAGTGTGCTGACCTGGATGGGTGCAGTGGTGGGAAGGATGGCTTTCGACATTCATGCATGTCACTTTTTTAAAAAAATAAGCCCTTTGATATCACAACAGGGAGGGCACCACACACCCTTTTATGAGGGCTTCGAAAACCTGATTTGACACAGTCAAGCATGTTAAGAAGAAGAATGGATTGTATTAAGAGCAATAGCTGACATGACAGGTAGCCCCTGCAGTGGGCTAACGGACTAACTACTTCAGGGGATTTTGAAACAGAAAGTGAAGAAGACAGCTAGCTAGTTTTAAAAACCACCCACAAAATGGTTGTCTGGGCAGATACAGAGAAATTATATTTCTCTGATCATTTCCAGCAGTGACAGACTCCAGAAGTCTCACAGTAGCTTTGCTAGAGCATTTGTTACTATGGGTAACACACTACAAAAAGCAGGCCATATATTCTGCACACACACACTTACCGTCATACAGCCATCATAAAAACACAAACATACATTACATCACATCAATGCTTGTCCTCTTATAAGAGCTGTGAATACAGGAGTCCTACTGGGCTAGTGACAATCCTAGCCCCTAAAACATTAATTCCCAAATTCATTACCCTAAATTCACGATCTGCAGAATAGATGCCCACTGTAAATACAAGCTCTAACTAGAGATTTTAAGTCAGTTTCAATCAAGAGGAAGATTCCGCTGGATGTGGATATGAGGACTGTTTCAAATTCATTAATAAATTGTAATAGGACTTTATGCTGGGCACTCTGACTCAACTATTTTGGCTATTCGTTTGGCAACACGGTATGAAGATGGGGGCTCAGTATCTAGTCTACAAGTCAGTTACTGGGATCAGCCACTATTTCTGAACTCATAAAAGAGGGACAGTCAAATGGGGAATCAAAGAGTGGGTAGTTAGCAGCAGCTGCTATTGAGGGAGTGCTGAGTAGAGTCTTCTGTTGGCTCTGGACTCAGTTGTATGATATGCTTCATTAATATTAAGGCTGGGATTTTCAAAGGAGCCTAAAAGAGTTAAGTACCCAATTCCCATTGAAAAATTCAATGGGAATTGTGCACCTGACTCTCTTAGGTTGCTTTAAAAACCCCAGCCTATAGTTTTATGTATAGGTGCATTGATATTATTGATCAGCACAATGTAAACACAGCACAGTCTGTATAGAACAGCACCCCGACTCCCCTCCGCCCAAGCCTTGGCACAATTACACCTGGGCTGACCTAGCATTATTACAATTGCATTAAAACGAACTGAGACATGCAACCTTTGAGAACTAGCAGAGAAGAGGGGTCTAAAATGCCTTTTTAGGCAAAATAATCTGGGATCAGTCCCCATTGTCTGCATTTTAACATGAGTGGAGATTTGTTGTGGTTTATCAGAAGCTGTTCTGAAATCCACAAAAGCTATCAGGCGTCTCTAGCAGGGCAGCAAGATACTTTGCACTTGGGTAACACATGGGGATGTTCTCTGTGGTGTCTAACACACCCACCCCATTTTCTTCACAAGACAGGCTTTCCAACAACCCCATATGAGCGTTTGCCCCCAAAGATGTCAGACAAAGCTTCACAGTCACAAAATCCAAGGGAACTGGTCTCAGATGCTCTGGATGTGGCCTGCAATTAGCAGCGTTACCCAGAACTTCTTCTCAGTGCCAGTTCTAGTCACCAAAACCCATTGAGACAATCACAGTCAGAAACAAAACAAGGGCTTTATTTCTCTCTGCTCCTATCAAGACTTTTTATTTGATCTACCAGAACCTAAGTGGGGCTTGAAGAGCTTACTCAACACACACTACGATTAGGCCTACCAACCCTAGTGAAAAAACACCTGTACTATCATATCTCCTGCTGTTTAACGAAATAAGCATAAATTCTTAGCACTTACATAGAACGCCACAGCTTCACAAACATCATCTAATTAATCCTCATAGAAGCCCTGAGAAGAAGGGAAGTTGGTATTATATCCATTTTACAGATGGGGAAACTGAAGCAGTGGTGAACTGACTTCCCCAAAGGCTCAGAGAGTAAGTTTCATAACCAGGGCTAGAAATCAGGGCTTCCCCAATCCCAGCCCTGTGCTTCAACTGCTGTCTGAACCAGCACACCTCTCTCTACTCCACACTCTAGGATGAGAGTAATAGCACAGTATTTAAGAGCACGGTACGCAGTCACTCTGAACTGAGGATTTCCCATAATGATACTTCAGGCTGAGGTATCTGGTACTCCAGGCTCTCTCTCAATTAACCTCTGTGCTGGGCCAGAGGGGCAGTCAAATGGGGCATCAGAGAGTGGGTAGTTAGCAGCTGTGCACACTGTATTCTACTACATACTCCGCTCGTGGGAAGCAAGAAGCAAGCTGAGCTCCATGGCAGGAAGAGCACATAGAGTCGACTGTAGTGTTTGGTACAGTACTTTGTCTGGGAAATTGGTACTGTTGACCAAAAGAGTTTGGGAATCACAGTTTTAAACAGAAGAATAAATTACTTCTAATTCTACATCTCTGAAGATACTCAATCTTGGGACTCAGCTTGCTAGCACTAGACAGGTCAGATAGTCCCCTCCTATCACCACCTGCTCTTTACATTTTTTGCCCTCTGAGATACCGTCAATTGGACACAAGTGTCTGTCCTTAGACTCTACTCCAAATGCCATCTCCAATCAAAACCTTCCCCATCTACTGCTAGGGTGCCAAGACCCAAGAGAGGGACCCCCATGTGCCTTTAAAGAATTGGCTTTTTCTAATACATGTGCATGCACAGTCCACAGTAAATGCATGAGAGAAAGGCTCACCAATCCGTTTCTCCAGGTCTGCAGCCTCACTGGGGGTGGCTCTGGGCAGGATACCTGGGTCTCTGAAGCTTGTCTGCAGCAAACAGCTGATGACAAAGAAGAACAGGACACCCCCGATGATGGGAATGGCCAGGGTCAGGTGACTGGCAAGGAAGGGGCAGCTGTAAATAATTAGACAAACAAGTTTTTTACATTCCCGGCATTCACCCACAAGCACCTCAATCAGCTGCTCTAATGATTACTGTTTATTATTTGAATGGGAGTAGCGCCTAGGAGCCCCAACTAACACAGATGATTTTGTCATGAAGATGGGACCCAAGTTTCAGAGCTAGGGAGTCCATCTGAAGAACAAACCATACTTTGTTTCCCAACACTGAAGAGAACGACTGGTTAGAATGTAACAGTCTCCATACAACCACCACACTGCCTGAGTCCTGTATGTACCTTATTGATGTGTGCGGATTCAGGGGAAGAACAGTTCTAGGGTGCTTTTCAATGGAAAGAGCCCCCAGTACTTTACAAACTATATACCCACAGCACCACCGATATGCAGCCACCTTTGGAGTGGCAGGCAACAGCCAGTCATAACACAGCACAATTGTGGGTAGAGTGGGTGCATTTAGGGTAAAGTTATATTTCTTCGGAGATACAGAATCGTATCTCAAAAATCAGTGACACGTTGGGAAGTCTCACCTTCTGAGAAAATGACATCAGTGAGGTGTCAAGGCTGAATGAGTTATGTGGGAGCCTTTTATGGACCTTTCTGTACAGATAATGGGTCAAATTCAGCACTACTGCGATTCCATTTGGCCCAACGTGTGAAGCTGAAAGGGAAACTGGCCCTGGTTCTATTCAGATTTGCCATCTATAGATGGCATGGGTGTCCTTCATGCTGCACCAGGGGTTTAAAAAGGGACATATTTCTGTATTAGACGCTGCTGTAACATGAGCCAATGCTCCTCCAAATAGATGACTCTGTTTGAACAGGTACAGAGAGCCATCATTAGTGACTACACATCATGGAGACAAGGGCCCACGTTTGCCCTCACATGAGCACAATGGGAGGGCAGCCTCAGTCACTCACAGCAAGACAGTTAAAGACTTCTAAGGCACGCAGCTGTTCACATAATGCAGCGCTGCAGTCCCGCTCCCACTCCTCACTCTGCAAAAGGGATTTTACTATTATAAGCACTGATAATCACCCAGACGCCAACCCAGACACGCAAGCTGTCCGACTCCTGGTGTCCATGGACAATAATCAGCCTCACTATACAACGAGGCAGTTCAAAGGGATTAAGAGAACTTTTGTTTCAACTCCCAAACTCAGCTGTTCAGAACAAGACAGCCACCAAACAACAAAACCCCACTGGGCTAGAACCAATTCCACCACGCAGTGCAGCCCTGTGCTTTCTTTTTTACAGAAGGACAGAATAGCCTCTGAAGCAGGGTGGACTGATTTAAGTCAAAGTGATTTAAATCCCCGATTTTAATCATGATTTAAACCAGCAAGCAGAAAACCTTGATTTAAATGATCAATTTTAATCATGTTTATACCTTTTAGATATTTTCCTAAAGGAAGGTTGAGTTTCATTGATTGGTAACCTTTAAAACATGTTGATTTACAACTAAATATAACCTTAACACTAAATTTGCTGCTTCTTTTTACCAACTAGGAGAATACACATTTAAGAAATTATATAGTTTAACTTACATTTATTCAGATTTTTAATTTTTACATTTTTATGTTAGAAAATGGTGAATAATGCATTTATTATTTGCCAGGTGATGGTTAATTTTTTTTACTTGTGATTTGTGTCCAGCTCTGTTTGGATGGAAATTCAATTTAAAATACACAAAAATAGCATTTAATTTTCATATGAAATAAAACTACCTTAAATGTGCAGGACACATAAGAAAAAAGTTTATCAAAACATGTTTTGCATCTAAAACTCATTTATTAAACAACGGAAGTATCTGTAGTTAGTGAACTGAACTGATTGTTTTTAATATCATGTCCTTCAAGATGTTAGAACTCTCTCATAACTAGTTTTTTTACTGATAGATGAGAAGAAGAAAACAAGCTTTTCCGCTTCTTCAACTCTCAGTTGGTTTTGTAACAGTGAATGAACTAGTCATTGAACTGAACTAAATGAATAAACCGAAATGATAAAAATATTCTCTCTGCACCTGCAGAAGCTACTGCTGATTTAACACTTCAACAAACCCTGATTCCAGGTGCTTACACAGCGACTTACCCCATGAACTGGTGGAACTTTCTTTAGAAGTTGGCAGAAGACATGTACTAAATTTTTTTATTTGATTTTTAAATTATGTTAATAGATTATGATAAATTTAGGCCTTAACATAGGCTAACAATTTTTAATTTGATTTAAAAAGTGTATTATTTAAAACTAAACCTGTATTTAATTTAAATCAAAATTCCAATTGTAATAAAGCTCTCCCACCCCAGACAGGAAAGGACTTGGGGACAATGGAAAGGGGGCTGGGGACACCAGAGTTCCCCCTCCTCAGACAAAGGGAATAAGTGGAGTGAGGGGTTCCTAGAGCTTCCCCTCTCCAGAAAGTGGAGTGATCTGGAGACAATGAGTGGGTTAGCAACCCACAGAACCCCCTCCATTGACAAGAGATGATGGGGGGTCAGGTTGTAGAAGGATGTTGGGGACTCCAGAGCTCCCCATGCCCAGGCAGAGAATTATTTGAGGGGGATAAGAGAGCTAGTGATGCAGAGCTTCCCCTGCTCAGGCAGGGTGTGACTGGGGGCCAGGGACCTTTGGGCAGGGGTGGTTCGCTGGCTGAGCCAGGGTGTCTGGGCAAGGAGTGGAGGGGTGATTGGGGAGCAGGATCCCGGGCCAGTGGGGTGATGGACCAGGGCAGAGGACGGGTTTAGTAGCTAGGGCTCATAGGCGGGGGGGTTGGGAGGCGGAGGATAATGGGATAGTTGGGGAGACAGGGTCCCCTGGCAATCCATTTGAAGGGCAAGGGGTGATGAGGTGGTTTGGGAGCTAGGTTCCCAGGCAGATGCAGGGGACAAGTTGGGGAGGCAGGGGCCCCAAGCAGTGCATTGGGGGGGACAGGGAATGATGGGGTGGTTTGGGGGCTGGTGAGGGGTGGTCAGGGCCCCACAGGTGGGGGGCCCCAGGCAGAGGTCGGAATGCAGGTGTAGGGGATAAGGGGGCGGGGGGCCCGAGCAGAGGCCAGTTTGGGGTTAGGGGCAGCCCGGGACAGAAGCAGGTTGCGGGGGTAGGGGGCGGGGGGCCCCCGGGCAGAAGCGGGGGTGTCAGCCTGGGGCAGAAGCGGGTTGGGGGGGGGGGGGGCCGGGGCCCCCGGGGAGGGGTTGCGGTGTAGGGGATAAGGGGGCGGGGGGCCCGAGCAGAGGCCGGTTCGGGGTTAGGGGCGGCCCCCGGGCAGAGGGGGGGCGGGCAGGGGGCTGCGGGGGTTCGGGGTTAGGGGCGGCCCCCGGGCAGAGGCGGGCTGCGGGGGGGGGGGTGGCCCGGGCAGAGGCGGGGGCTGGGGCAGGGGGGGGGGGGCGGGCAGAAGCGAGGGTGGCAGCCCGGGGCAGAAGCGGGTTGCGGGGTAGGGGACGGGGGGGCCCCCGGGCAGATGCCGGGGGTGTCGGCCCGGGGCAGAAGCGGGCTGCGGGAGTAGGGGGGCGGGGGGGAGCCCCGGGCAGAAGCGGGATGCGGGGGTACGGGGGGCCCCGGGTCAGAAGCGGGATGCGCTGTAGGGAATAAGGGGGCGGGGGCCCGGGCAGAGGCGGGCTGCGGGGGATAAGGGGGCGGCGGGCCCCAGACTCACTCGAAGGCGAAGAAGAGGCCGCTGGTGGCCAGGATCAGCCCCAGCGTGAGGGCGAAGACGCCGCTGTGCCGCGCCAGCATGAGGCGCCCGCCGCAGTAGAAGCGGTTGCGGCCCGGGAACGCCTCCCACTTGCGGCGCGGGGCGCGCGCCGGCGGCTCCGGGGCGGGGGGCGGCGGGCCCGGGGGCGCGGCGGGGGCGCCCGGGGGGATCTGCCGGTACTCGCACGCCTTCATGGCGCCGCCAGGCCCCGCCGCGCCGAGCCGCGGCCGCCACCCGCCCGCGCTCGCTACGGGGACGTGTCCGCTCCGCCCCCCGCGCCCCGGCCCCGCCGACAAGGGAGCGGGCCCCCGCCGGCCTCCCGCCGCAGCGCCCCCCGCCGGCCCTGCGGCGCCCTTCGCCCCCCGCCGGCGCCCCCTCGCCCCGCAACCCCCCGAACCCCTCACCCCACCGCCCCCCAACCCGTCACCTCACACCCCGTACCCCCCCAACCCCCTCCCCCATCACCTCACACCCCGTACCCCCACCCCCAACCCCTCACCCCGCAGCCCCCCAACCCCTCACCTCACACCCCGTACCCCCCAACCCCCTCCCCCATCACCTCACACCCCGTACCCCCCCCCACCGCCCCCCAACCCCCCCCCCATCACCTCACACCCCGTACCCCCCCGCCCCCAACCCCTCACCCCGCAGCCCCCCAACCCCTCACCTCACACCCCGTACCCCCCAACCCCCTCCCCCATCACCTCACACCCCGTACCCCCCACCGCCCCCCAACCCCCTCCCCCATCACCTCACACCCCGTACCGCCCACACCCCAACCCTCACCCCACCGCCCCCCAACCCATCACCTCACACCCTGTACCCCCCAACCCCCTCCCCCATCACCTCACACCCTGTACCGCCCACACCCCAACCCCTCACCCTGCAGGCCCCCAACCCCTCACCTCACACCCCGTACCCCCCGCCCCCAACCCCTCACCCCGCAGCCCCCCAACCCCTCACCTCACACCCCTACCGCCCACACCCCAACCCCTCACCTCACACCCCGTACCCCCCCAACCCCCTCCCCCCATCACCTCACACCCCGTACCGCCCACACCCCAACCCCTCACCTCACACCCCGTACCTGCCACAGCCCCCAAACCCGTCACCCCGCAGCCCCCCAGCCCATCACCTCACACCCTGTACCCCCCACAGTGCCCCAACCTGTCACTCCGCAGCCCCCCAACCCGTCACCTCAGACTGCGTACCCCACACAGCCCCCCAACCCCACAGCCCTCAACCCCCTCCCCTCGTACCACCTCACAGCCCCCTAACCTATCACCCCGCAGCCCCCTCACCCGTCACCTCACACCCCGTACCCCCCACCGCTCCCCAACCCATCACCCCACACCCTGTACCCCCCACACCCCCAACCCGTCACCTCACAGCCCCCCACCCCTCACAGCCCCTCACCCCGCAGCCCCCTCCCCCGTCACCTCACACCCCGTACCCCTCTCTCCCCGCAGCCCCCCAACCCGTACCCCTCACAGCCCCCCAACCTCCTCCCCCCACAGCCCGCACCACCCACAGACCCCCAACCCCTTCACCCATCACCTCACACCCCGTACCCCCCACAGCCCCCCAACCCATCACCCCACACCCTGTACCCCTCTTACCCCGCAGATCCCCAACCCGTCACTCCGCAACTCCCTCACCCCACAGCCCCCCAACTCCCTCACCCATCACCTCACACCCCGTACCCCCTACAGCCCCCCAACTCCCTCACCCCACAACCCGCAACCCCTTCCCCCACAGCCCCCTCACCGATCACCTCACACACCGTACCACCTCACAGCCCCCAACCCCCTCCCCCACTGCCCCCCAACCCGTCACCCCACTGCCCGTACCCCCCACAGCCTCCCAACTCTCTCCCCCCACAGCCCGCACCCCCCACAGACCCCCAACCCCTTCACCCATCACCTCACACCCCATATCCCCCAGAGCCCCCCAACCTGTCACCTCACACCCCGTACCCCTCACAGCTACCAACCCCCTCCCCTTGTACCCACTCACAGCCCCCCAACCCATCACCCCACTGCCCCCTCACCCATCACCTCACACCCCATACCCCTCACAGCCCCCAACCCGTCACCCCACAGCCCTCCAACCTGTCACCTCACACCCCGTACCCCTCACAGCCCCCAATCCCCTGCCCTCGTACTCCCCCAGCCCCCTCACCCATCACCTCACACCCCATACCCCCTTACAGTCCCCCAACCCCCTCCCCACACAGCTCGCACCCCCCACAGACCCTCAACCCCTTCACCCCTCACCTCAGACCCCGTACCTCCCACAGCCCCCCAACCCATCACCCCACACCCTGTACCCCTCTCACCCCACAGCCCCCCAACTCCCTCACCCCACAATCCCCTCCCCCCACAGCCCCCCAACTCCCTCACCCATCACCTCACACCCCGTACCCCCCACAGCCCAACTCCCTCACCCCACAGCCCCCCAACCAGTCACCCCACAACTCGCAACCCCCTCCCCCCACAGCCCCCTCACCCATCACCTCACACCCTGTATCCCCCACAGCCCCCCAACTCCCTCACCCTGCACCCCCCACAGCCCCCCAACCCCCTCACCCATCACCTCACACCCCATACCCCCTCACAGCCCCCAACCCCCTCCCCCCACAGCCCGCACCCCCCAACCCCCTCCCCTCGTACCCCCTCACAGCCCCCCAACTCCCGCCCACCCTAACCCATCACCCCACAGCCTGCACCCCGCACAGCCCCCCAACCCCCTCACCCATCACCTCACACCCCATACCCCCGACAGCCCCCCAACCCCCTCACCTCATACCCTCTCACAGCCCCCCAACCCGTCACCCCACAGCCTGCACCCCCCACAGCCCCCAACCCCCTCACCTCATACCCTTTCACAGCCCCCCAACCCGTCACCCCACAGCCCACAGCCCCCCAACCCCCTAACCTCATACCCTCTCATAGCCCCCCAACTCCCTCCCCCAACCCGTCACCCCACAGCCCCCTAACCCCCTCACTTCATACCCCCTCACAACCCCCCCAACTCCCTCCCACCCTAACCCATCACCTCACACCCCGTACCTCTTCACAGCCCCCAAACCCCCTCACACCCTAACCCCTCACCTCACACCCTATACCCCCCTCAGTTCCCAAACCCATCTCCTCACAGCCCTACAGCGCCCTTCCCGCCCATCCCCCCACAGCCCCCAAGCTCCTCAACCCCCAAACTCCCTCACATCCTAACCCATCACCTCACAGCCCTGCAGCGCCCTTCCACCCACCTCACCCCATAACCCATCACCCCACAGCCCAACCCCCCAACCCCTCACACCTTAAGCCATCACCCCACACCCTGTACCCCCAAACCCCTCACACCCTAACCCATCACCCCACAGCCTGAATCTCCACAGCCCCCCCAACCCCCTCACACCTTAACCCTTCACCCCACAGCCCCCAATTCCCCCATCCTCACACCCCACAGCCCCCAATCCACCCAGTCCTGACACCTCACAGCCCTCAAAACCTCCTCACATCCTAACCCATCACCCCAAGCCATCTCCCCACATAGCCCCAGCCTCCTCTGCCCCCTCCCTCACACCCCACAGCCCCTAACCCCAATTCACACCTAAACCATCACCCTCCTTAGCCCCCAAACCTCCTCTGCCCCCGCCCTCAAACCCCATAGCCCCCAAACCTTGCTCAGTCCCCTTTCCTAACATGCCAGAGCCCCAGAATACAATCCCAACAGCATCTCCTGAAGCCCCTCACACCCTAAAGCATCATCCTCCCCAGCCCACAATCCCCAGTCCCCAAACCCTCTCACCCCAAACCATCACTCCTTCCACAGCCTGACCCACACCCCAATAGCACAGCTCCCCACTCTTCCTTAGCCCTAACACTCTTACCCTTCAGCCTCTACTACCACATACTCAAACTGTCCCTTACACCATTACCCATAGTACCTCCACAGCCCCAAGCTCCCTCACCTCTAAACCTAACACTACACACCTCCATAGCCCCCTCAGCCGCTAAACCTAACACCCCCAGTCAAATCCCCATACCCCCTAAATCTAACACCCCCACAGGCTCCCATATCCCCACCCCAATACCACAGACCCAAACTCCTGCTCTCTAAAGCCATAACAACCGCATAACTCCTCAATCCCCACCTTGAACACTACAGCACCCAAATCCCTTTACCTCTACATTCATTAGCTCTCTACACACCTCAACCCCATCAAAACCCCACAAATCCCACTCCCCCCAAAAATCAGTGACACCCCATAATAACCCTTTACCTGAACACCACATTCTCGCCAAATCTCTTAAACCCCATAACTTCACAACTGTCTCAGCCACACCACCTCCCACATGGCTGGAAGTCTGCCCTGCAGCCCCCAGAGACCCCACTTTTCTCTTAAACCTGTAACATTCTTAAAAAACCTCAGATCCCCCAAAATTCCATTCATCCCTAATCCCCAACCCTCAAAACCCCATAACTCTTCATAACTCCTGTCCCCCAAAACACTCATTCCTAATCCTGCAATGCTACACAGTCCCCTTCACCCCACCATAGAATCATAGAATATCAGGGTTGGAAGGGACCTCAGGAGGTCATCTAGTCCAACCCACTGCTCAAAGAAGGACCAATCCCCAACTAAATTATCCCAGCCAAGGCTTTGTCAAGCCTGACCTTAAAAACCTCTAAGGAAGGAAATTCCACCACCTCCCTAGGTAACGCATTCCAGTGCTTCACCACCCTCCTAGTGAAACAGTTCTTCCTAATATCCAACCTAAACCTCCCCCACTGCAACTTCAGGTCATTACTCCTTGTTCTGTCATCTGCTACCACTGAGAACAGTCTAGATCCATCCTCTTTGGAACTCCCTTTCAGGTAGTTATTTTTGTTGCCCTCCACTGGACGTTTTCCAATTTTTCCAAATCCTTCTTGTAGTGTGGGGCCCAAAACTGGACACAGTACTCCAGATGAGGCCTCACCTATGTCGAATAGAGGGGAACGATCACATCCCTCGATCTGCTGGCAATGCCCCTACTTATACATCCCAAAATTGGCCTTCTTGGCAACAACGGAACACTGTTGACTCATATCCAGCTTCTCGTCCACTGTAACCCCTAGGTCCTTTTCTGCAGAACTGCTGCCGAGCCATTCGGTCCCTAGTCTGTAGCAGTGAATGGGATTCTTCTGTCCTAAGTGCAGGACTCTGCACTTGTTCTTGTTGAACCTCATCAGATTTCTTTTGGCCCAATCCTCCAATTTGTCTAGGTCCCTCTGTACCCTATCCCTGCCCTGCAGCGTATCTACCTCTCCTCCCAGTTAGTGTCATCTGCAAACTTGCTGAGGGTGCAATCAACGCCACCCTCCAGATCATTTATGAAGATATTGAACAAAACCGGCCCCAGGACCGACCCTTGGGGCACTCCACTTGATGCCGGCTGCCAACTAGACATGGAGCCATTGATCACTACCCGTTGAGCCCGACAATCTAGCCAGCTTTCTATCCACCTTATAGTCCATTCATCCAGCCCATATTTCTTTAACTTACTGGCAAGAATACTGTGGGAGACCATGTCAAAAGCTTTGCTAAAGTCCAGGAACAACACGTCCACTGCTTTCCCCTCATCCACAGAGCCAGTTATCTTGTCATAGAAGGCAATTAGATTAGTCAGGCATGACTTGCCCTTGGTGAATCCATGCTGACTGTTCCCGATCACTTTCCTCTCCAAGTGCTTCAGAATTGATTCCTTGAGGACCTGCTCCATGATTTTTCCAGGGCCTGAGGTGAGGCTGACTGGCCTGTAGTTCCCAGGATCCTCCTCCTTCCCTTTTTTAAATATGGGCACTACATTAGCCTTTTTCCAGTCGTCCGGGACTTCCCCCGATTGCCATGAGTTTTCAAAGATAATGGCCAATGGCTCTGCAATCACATCCGCCAACTTCTTTAGCACTCTCGAAAGCAGCGCATCCGGCCCCATGGACTTGTGCTCGTCCAGCTTTTCTAAATAGTCCCGAACCACTTCTTTCTCCACAGAGGGCTGGTCACCTCCTCCCCATGCTGTGCTGCCCAGTGCAGCAGTCTGGGAGCGGACCTCGTTCGTGAAGACAGAGGCAAAAAAAGCATTGAGTACATTAGCTTTTTCCACATCCTCTGTCACCAGTTGCCTCCCTCATTCAGTAAGGGGCCCACACTTTCCTTGAATTTCTTCTTGTTGCTAACATACCTGAAGAAACCCTTCTTGTTACTCTTAACATCTCTTGCGAGCTGCACCTCCAGGTGTGATTTGGCCTTCCTGATTTCACTCCTGCATGCTCGAGCAATGTTTTTATACTCTTCCCTGGTCATTTGTCCAGTCTTCCACTTCTTGTAAGCTTCTTTTTTGTAAAAAGAAAAGGAGTACTTGTTCCGATGAAGTGAGCTGTAGCTCACGAAAGCTTATGCTCAAATAAAATTGTTAGTCTCTAAGGTGCCACAAGTGCTCCATTTCTTTTTGCGAATACAGACTAACACGGCTGCTACTCTGAAATGTGGCACCTTAGGGACTAACAAATTTATCTGAGCGTGAGCTTTCGTGAGCTACAGCTCACTTCATCAGATGCATTCAGTGGAAAATACAGTGGGGAGATTTATATACACAGAGAACATGAAACAATGGGTGTTACCATACACACTGTAACGAGAGTGATCTCTTAAGGTGAGCTATTACCAGCAGGAGAGCGGGGTCGGGGGGGAGGGAGAACCACATATCTATGCAGGGGACACCATCATAGGGCCTAATCACATCAGCAACACTATCAGAGGCTCCAGAGTAGTACTCCTTTTCTTATCAGAGGCTCGTTCACCTGCACATCTACCAATGTGCCAGCAATGCCCCTCTGCCATGTACATTGGTCAAACTGGACAATCTCTATGTAAAAGAATAAATGGACACAAATCAGACATCAAGAATTATAACATTCAAAAACCAGTCGGAGAACACTTCAATCTCTTTGGTCACTCGATTACAGACCTAAAAGTTGCAATTCTTCAACAAAAAAACTTCAAAAACAGACTCCAACGAGAGACTGCTGAATTGGAATTAATTTGCAAACTGGATACAATTAACTAAGGCTTGAATAAAGACTGGGAGTGGATGGGTCATTACACAAAGTAAAACTATTTCTCCATGTTTATTCCCCCCAGCCCCCACTGTTCCTCAGACTTTCTTGTCAACTGCTGGAAATGGCCCACCTTGATTATCACTACAAAAAGTTTTCCCCCCGCCCCCCCACTCCACTCTCCTGCTGGTAATAGCTCACCTTACCTGATCACTCTCGTTATAGTGGGTATGGTAACACCCATGGTTTCATGTTCTCTGTGTATATAAATCTCCCCACTGTATTTTCCACTGAATGCATCCGATGAAGTGGGCTGTAGCCCACAAAAACTTATGCTCAAATAAATTTATTAGTCTCTAAGGTGCCACAAGTCCTCCTTTTCTTTGCGGATACAGACTAACACGGCTGCTACTCTGAAACCTTCTTTTTTGTGTAATCCATCACAACACCCATAGCCCCTCTCACCCCCTACTCCCATAACTACCACCACAGTATAACATTCCTTGTGGCCAGTCACTGCACCATCAACTTGCAGCCCCTACCAAACCATAACACCATTATAATACAAACCCATTTGCTCGGCTCAAACCCATTATAACAACTCCCACAGCAGGACCACCACCAGTGTGTGTGCCCTCCTCCAATTAAGCTGTTAACAGCCACCTGGGTGATGGTCACAACTTCAAGCCAGTTGTAGCTCACCTCCCACCAGACACCTTCCCCTTACAGACCCAGTGTAACTGTAGCTCCCCCAAGTAACCACAGATCTAACCAAGCAAACAGTAACAAGTCAAATTGTTTTGTTATTTTATTTTATAAATGTTTGTAGTGAATTTAGTGCTGGTGGAAGTTGGTGAGCTGACCACCCTGGAAACTGAAGGCCTCTGTTTATCCACAGGATAGGTTAACAGAGTAACAGCCGTGTATATAAAGTCTGCTGCAGTTTCCACGGTATGCATCCGATGAAGTGAGCTGTAGCTCACGAAAGCTCATGCTCAAATAAATTGGTTAGTCTCTAAGGTGCCACAAGTCCTCCTTTTCTTTTTGAGGATAGGTTAAGTTTCCCTAACCCACACCATGTTTCACCTCTCTGATGGAGGGACCACCCACAGGCAAACCAGGAGAGTTCAGTCTGCCTGGCTCACTCAATCCTTTCGCTCTCTGGGTGAGAGGTGGGATACTTGTACCACTTGGAAACAGACTGAGATCACACTTATTTCATATATATCACAAAACACCCTCAAGACTGTAACCATTTTTGATCACTACTGACCTGGTCCAAACTTCAAATAGTGTCCTGGCTTTGATGAAAATCGATAAAAGAAACTAAGGATAGGACATGTCCTGCTACCTAGATAATTTAATGATGAAGAGCATGGATATAGGGAATAATGCTGCAGCAGAAACACTCAGAAATGGACTTGTGCATCGGAATAGAGTCTGAGTCTCTACAGCCATAACTGGTACATAAGGCAGCAAGGGTAACATAGGCTGGCTGAATCATCAATTTCCTGCTGTGCAGTTTGCGTCACATCCCTACTATTATTGTGGTTGCTATTTCTGTCAGTTTCTCTTTGACGTTTTTACCATCTATTATGGAAGTGGGTAGGTAAAGGGCACAGCCCACTGTGACGTTAATGAACTGATGGTTAAAGTCTTTGCCCCCAAAGTTTCACCTGGAATCAGCAGAATTGGATAGTGGGGAAACAAGCACAGAATTTGGCCTCTTACATTTAAAATTTCACAACTGTGTATGGTCAGGATTCAAGGTCCATTCAGTTCTCTGGAAGCTTTGGGAAATGAGTGACACAGATATGGATCACACATTAGTCAGGGGAGAAACATGTTTTGAGTGAGACATGTCCAAGAGATCTCCCACACTCAGGAAACAGGTTCCATTGGCCTGAGTCTGGGTGGTGCAATAAGGAGCCTCTTCCCCCTTCACAGCAATAACCAGGGTCAGCAAAGCCTGAAGCAACAGAAGCTGGAGTCCAGGAAGTGTCAACCTGTGCAAGCAATTGCTGAAATGGCATCAGCAACATAAGACACTGCTGCTGGGTGTAGGCAGGAGGCAGCCTCCTGGGTGTTGGCTGGCAGTCGGGGCATCATGTTCAAGCTCAGGTTCCTGTAGTTTTATGAATGACTGTAGCCCTCTGCCCCCATTGGAGTGCTGCTACTCTTTGTGTGTCGCAGGACCTCTTGCAATTGTGTCTCAGGGACTCCAGTTCAAAAGCGTTCAGTTTACAAGTTGTTTTTGACAACCAGAGAGATACTAAAATTGCAACAGGTCTATCTTTATTCATTGTTTTATTTGGAGTTTTAAGTTTAATCTTTATTCTTATTTACCAGTGCAAAGTCTGACTAAAAATGTCAGCAGAATTTTCTTGTAGGGAAGGCAAAGCTTAAACACTGAAGACACACTTGCCTTGTACAGGCGCAAAAATATGGACCCAATCCCACAAGCAGATCTTTGCAGACAGATCTCTGAAGAATTCAATTGATTTCAGTGGCAGCATGCAGGATCCCGGGGCTGTTTTGGAAAATCTCACTATAGCCTCTTCCAGTTAGCTGGAAAGTTTCAGGGTACGTTTGTTTTTAAAGTCTCACTATCACTCATGTTCGCTACATTAGCCTACTGCTGTGTGTGATGTTAGGTTCCAGAATGCAGGTATGCCTGCTTCTCATTTCCTTTAAGTCTGTCCCTTCTGGAATTGAAGGGGTGACAACTGCCAGCACCTCAGAGGAATCTTCCAAATTAATTTGCAGTTATGACCTGCTGCAAGCAGTATTTAAACCAAGGTGACCAGCTACAAACAGCTACTGTCAAGGGGGAGAGAGAGAGAGAGAGAGAGTGTGCACGCGCAAATGTACAACACCCTAAATCATTAACTGGTCATATATGTATACTATACTTAAATACTGTAGAACCAGAAGTCTCAGGGGACACCCAGAATACGTCTACATGGCAAGTAGAAACCAGCAGCAGAGTCTGGGCCTACAGAATTGGGATCACAGGGTTCATGCTGCAGTGCTAAAATAGCTGTGTAGACATTCAGGCTCAGGGGGCAGCTTGGGCTCTGAAGTTATTTTGAGCACTGCAGCACGGAGCCCTGTGAGCCTGAGTCTGTAGACCCAGGCTCTGAGACTCAGTGCCACAGCTTTCTGCTTGCTTTGTAGATGTATCCTCAAAGCCTCCACCTAGTCAGAAGCTTGGACAGCTGGAGACTATCACATTTACAATTAGCTTATTCTGTTTTACGCTAAAAACAGTATATGCTTTACCCTTCTTTTGTGCCTTCTATAAAAGATCTCAAAGAGCTTCACACATTCATTAAACAAACTTCACAATCCTTTGGTGAGAGCGGGAAGTAGCACTGTCTCCACTTTAAGGGAGAGTAGAATCAGGGCATAAAGAGGAAGTGACTTTCTCCAGAATACACAGCAAGTCAGCAGCAGAACTGAAAATAGGAATTAGACCTCAGTCCTTCTGCCCTGCTGTAACCAGAGGGCAACACTCCCCTACTATTTAATGAAGTAAACAGGAATGTTCATTTCCTTCCCTCAATGTCCAACTTCCTGACAGTACTCTCCAAGCTGTAGGCCCTGTCACACTGACTCTCCTCCCCACCACAGGCAGTTCTCAAATTTCCCAAAGCTAGAGATGTCTTTTCATTTGGCGGGGAAAAGTGACTCTCATAAGGTCCACAAACTTTACTGACAACATTCAAACACTTTGATACACCCTTGTGAATTTCCATATGCCCTAGCTTGAGAACCTCTAACAACTTTCCCTAGGGACCTCTCCAGCCAACTCCTTTGTGACTCCACTTGTTCTCCATGATGCCCAGGCGCTCCTACAGAAAGAGGAGCACACTAGGAAGGCTTCTCACTGCGAGCTAGAGGATGCTTCCTTGAGTATCTCCACCATCTCAGAACCCCAATTTGTATTCTGCAGATAGACATGTCAACTGTAACCTAACCTATAACCTCAAACAGGCCTATAACTCATTTCACTAGACCATTATTAATTATGGTAAAGTGCTTCACAGAAGACATAAGAATAAAAAGACAATCCCTATCCCAGAGAGTTTACAGATTAGATTTTAGCCATCATACGACCAGTAATGCACAAATTGTAGGGGGAGAATGGAATGAGGAAGGATGAGGTTTACAGCAATAAGAGCAGAGTCATGTGCACATATTGGGGGCTCTGTATGCCTTTGGAAATAAAAAAATACAAAAGTTTATATTCTGAGCAGTGATTCCGTTCCCATTAGCAGGTCCATCACAAATACATGTTCTCAAACTCTAACTATGTCCAAGGCAGGAAGTTGCAGTGTAGGATCAGCCCCAGCAGCCAGAAGGACAGGAAGTATCCCAGAATGCATTTGGTGAGAGGGGAACTTATTCTCCAGTTCAGCAGTAATCTCATGATGGGGTTTTCAGAAATCCCTTTTCTGAACGATCCAAGAAAAGAGCTGCCTACACTGGGCTTTTCAGAGAGGGATGCTGCAGTCTGGATAGCAGTTCCTTCTTTCCACAGCAAAGGTTCATAGTTCTGGAGCAGATGAGCAGAGAACCAGTACAAGACTGGTGTAGACGAGCCTAGGAACCTGGTTAGAACCTGAAAACAACAGGGGGAAAAAAAAGCACATTAATTATGTGCCTGTGACTCTAAGTGACCCTGATTCTGAAGAATGAAAGGTGCAATCTATCTGTCTCAAACAGACTACTGACAAATTGGAGTGAAATATAGGCCCACTTTATGGTGCTAGAATTTATTATAAAATAATATGAAATAAAATGCCTCTCAGCTCAGGGTTACGCTTATAAAGATGTCTGTGAAAGCAGCCAAGTAACCTCCAGGTTACAGAAAAACACAGCAACAGTTTACTTGCCACAGCTCTGCAGAAATCTCTACTAAAACCTCTTCAGAGCCCTATTCCTGAGCAGGGCTACAGCAAAGACTTGAATCTTGCTATCTTCCCCAAGGAAAATGAGAGAGCCAAACCCTAAATAAGAAGATGACTATTTTACATTTATGAAGAGCCTTACATTTCAGAAGATCCCAAAGCACTTTATAAATGCTATGCATGCAGCATCACTAAAACGCAACCATCTCTGTGGATGACAGCAACAGCTAGCTGGTACACAGCACTCTGCAGAACAGCGTGGAGAGGGGAAACAATGGCCTAAAACAACTCCCTTTGCTCTTCTGGAAAGAAGTTAGTGCCTCACCCACTCTGTAATATCCTGGAACTAACATGGCTACAACTACACCGCAAACAACTTCTTGAAAGTGACAACGGCCCCCCTCCCCCCATGTACTAAATTGAATGGCAGCAATTTGTCTCCTGTGAAGGATAAAGGCATCGTTCCTGTGAAGCTTCCATGGCATCCCCTCTAGCATGTATGTCCTATAACCCTCCTCAACCCTGAAGGGTCTAGAGTAATTGGAGGGACAGACTATTAGCACATAGGAGGAATCCAGAGACATTCTCCACTAATCCCTGCCTGCTGAACACATGCAAACATTTACACCCATAGATCTGCTGGGGACCTGCCAAAGCAATGTCAGAGACTGAAGAGGTTATTTAACAGGATTCCAAGTGAGAGGGGACAGACTCCAGAAGGAGGAGTCCTGCTCATACATTGGGAGGCAGGGGAAGAGAGAGAGAGTACCTCCTGCACGTGAGTTCTTAAAACACTTCTAGAGACTGGTACGGGGTTACAGAGCTTTTTGTTTCCAGGTCACCAGTACAAGCCCAGCCCAAGGTGGTAGTGGCCCAAGTCTTTACCCCCGACAGTTGACTAGCAGCACTTTAATGGATGGTGTTTGTAACATGCTTATCACCAGGACAGCAGATAAGTGGCCAAAGTGAAACAAGCCGGTAGTTCCTAGTGCATAAGTGTCCCCATCACACCTGGCACCTAATGGGCCTCCTTTTAGGCAGTGTCAATGAAAGAAAAGGAACTAAATGGCCAGGGAAACTGAACAGTCATCTCTGACCTGGAAGTGGTTCCTACAGAGCACGATGAAACGTGCTGAGGGGGAAGCTTGCACTGCCCCTGTCCTTGTTCTGTGGCTAGACAAATTCCATCTCCATGAATGTCAATCTATCACCTTGCCCACCGCATTAAATTCCTTTAAAGACACCACTGCCATATGCTGCTTCAAATGTCTCACCTGCACATGCATGCAGAGGATTCCAAAGGCCAGAAGAGCCGTGGCATGGACCATGTAAACGAAGACACTGAAGCAACGAAATCCATCCACTGGCTTATCAGAGTCTTCTCCTTTCCTTCCTTCATTCTTTCTTCTCACTAGCCCAAGCATTAAGCAGTACTGGGGATTTGCAGTGAGGTAGAACCAGGTGGCCCAAGAGCCCAGCACAGTAACCGGCGCAGCTAGCAGGAAGTTGGGTACCTGTTTAGGCTCAAAGTACCTTAGAAAGCCCACATTCCAGTAAACATCTTGAATATAAGAATAGACCACAGGGAGCCCCTGGGAGCACCACACAGGTTTCACTCCATTCATGGCCGCTAGACGATACCCCTTATCCACAGCCAGCTGCAAGAGCGGCCTGGGAACAGCTTGTTCAGAGCCGGTGTTAGGATTGCAGAATCTCAAGTAGGCATAGGACTGAAACAAAGCAAATGGGAAAAAGACCCCAGCAGACATCAGAACCACTGAAGCTGCAAAGCGGAAGAGTCGTCTCCAGACATGAGGCAGCTTCATTACAGTCCCAGCACCTGCCTGGAGTTCGAGGGCAAGGTCTTTACTCTGGGAATAGATGAGGAAGCCAGTGTTGACCACCCCATTGGAGCGCACACCAGCAGCAAGGGAGAAGAAAAGTGCGCTGGTCCAGCTCTGTCCTTTCTCCAGCTGCAGCATGGCAGTGAACACCAGGAAAGCAAACAAGCTTTCTGAGTAAGCGGCTGTCATGAACACATTGGCAGGGGTGAGGCAGAAGAGGACAGCAGAGAAGAAGGCCATCCTGCGACACTGAAGCACCACGCACCCCAGCTCATAGAGGACAGCAGCTGCCAGGACTGAGAGGAGAGCATTCAAAAACACCGCTGACAAGAGCAGGCGGCTCCGTAAACCCAGTAGCCCTTGCAGAGGCCACAATGTGACCTCTGCCACGGCTCGCACACTGAGGGGGTACACTGGGAAGAAGGCAAAGTTGTGCTCATACAGGTAGCCATGCTCAGCTATGAACAAGAAGTGCTCTGCATCCCAGTGTGACAAGCCTCCCAACAGCCATTCTGACAACCAGTCACAGAGGCTGGGTTCTGACAGGCGGGGAGGAGAGAAGGCATCTGCTGCATGATCCGGGACCAAGAAGTTAAACAGGGCCTGGAAGAGAGAAGGAGAGAACTGAAATTAACCAAGTATTCTATTGTGACTTCCAGCATTGAAGACAGTCAAATGGAGTCCCAAGCAGGAGGAGGACTCCAGGGACTCAAAGTGTTAACTCCAAGAAGGGAGAATAAACAGGAGCCAAGAAATGCAGGCTAAGGGTATGTTTACACTGCAAAGAAATGTGTTAGCAGCTCAAGTTCAAGGCCAGGCTCCCCATGGGCTTTAACTCGAGATGCTAATCTGAGTTGCCGAGTCTTTGCTGCTCTTTTAGCCCAAGTTAGTGAATGTTGGTTAGCTATCCTGATTTAAAAGAAAAAAAAATTTTTTTTTTTTTTGGCAGTGTAGCATACCTTGAGTATCGGGAAAAGGTTCGAAGTGGTGAGATCTATTGGACAACATAGTCTCTGGTGAAAACCCAAATCATTTGGAACATTCAAATCTAGACCAGACAACACTCTGGAAAATATGCAGGGAAAAATCCAAATCCTGCATTAGCCTCTGTGCTAGTGAATGTACACTATAGCAGCTTCCATCTAAACCTCTCAATTGCTTTACAATGATTATTTCACAACCCCACATGCTGGTGAGACGGACATTTTGACCCCCACTTTATAAATGGGGAAACTGAGGCACGGAGAGGGGACGTCTTACTGATGTCACACAGCAGGTGAATGCAGTGCCCAGGCCCCTTCTCCAGCCACTAGATCACACTCCCATTGTCTCTGCTGCTTAGCATGCTGCTGTTGCAGCTGACACACAGGTGTCCCCTGACCTTCCTATTAGAAAGGTGAACGGGACTCTCAACAAACTAGCCCCGTTGTGAGTTTGCGGCATTCACCATGTTTTAACAGATGAGAGAAAAACAGAAAGCTCAAGAGGCTAGGGTCTAAATTTTAAAGCACTGTAATACCCAGCCAGATGAAAGTCATGCATCTGACTGAGCAGTCCTGAAGCTTAAAATGCGGAATTAGGGGTGTCCCTTGTTCAGTTATGTCAGTGCTGGCACTAACAGGGGAAGGAGAACAGAAGAAAAAAAGGGCTGCATTTAACAAACTGTAATGAAAAACATAAAAGTTGATGCTTTACAGTGAAACCTACATTACCAGGAAACTGGCTGGCTTAGGAGACTTTTTCAGATATGGAGCCTTTCATCTCTCAGATGATTGTTCAAATCCATCCCAACCCAGTAGAAACCAAAAGTTGTTACTATCAGCTGGCTGTTTGGTGGCGCTCAATATCTTTCCCAGTTAGACTGGTTTCACTTCACAAAAGCCAAAACAGCTGGGTTCCTTGTTGACAGTCTCAGCAGACACACTAAGGAGTGAATGGGCCATGAGTAGGGTCCTACCAAATTCATAGGGTTATGAAAAATGCATCACGGACTGTGAAATCTGGTCTCCCCACATACAATCTGGTCTTTTGTGTACTTTTACCCTATACTATACAGATTTCATGGGGGAGACCAGCGTTTCTCGACTGGGGATCCCAACGCAAAAAATGGTCATGGTTTTTTTTTTGCAAGGTTATTGTAGGGGGGTCACAGTATTGCCACCCTTACTCCTGCACTGCCTTCAGACCTGGGTGGCCAGAGAGCGGAAGCTGCTGGCCAGGTGCCCAGCTCTGAAGGCAGTGCCCTGCAAGCAGCAGAAACGCAGAAGTAAGGGTGGCAATACCATACCATAATGGCAGGTTTCAGAGTAGCAGCCGTGTTAGTCTGTGTTCGCAAAAAGAAAAGGAGTACTTGTGGCACCTTAGAGACTAACCAATTTATTAGAGCATAAGCTTTTGTGACACGAAAGCTTACGCTCTAATAAATTTGTTAGTCTCTAAGGTGCCACAAGTACTCCTTTTCTTTTTACGAATACCATACCATGCCACCCTTACTTCTGCACTGCTGCCTTCACAGTTAGGTCAGGACCCCTACAGTTACAACCCCATGACATTTCAGATTTAAATATCTGAAATCATGAAATTTATAATTTTTTAAATCCTATGACCATGAAATTGACCAAAATGGACCGTGAATTTGGTAGGGCCCTAGCCATGAGCACTGAGATGTCCTCATGTCTAGAGATAGTGCCTCTAGGCTTGAGACTTGGGAATTGTTTGAGTGGGAAGATTAATGTACCTGTTTTGTGGATAAACAGGGGACTTCAGTCTATAGAACTGTCAATACAGCCGCTTGCAACAGCAGTGAATTCACACAAAAGTTTTAATTTAAAAGTAAATTAACCATGTCAAACTTCTATTTGACAGCAACATGACTTCCCAGATGCCGCTTGTAGGCCTCTGCATTAGAAGTCCAGTAACAATCAGGAAGATCGTGATAGCTCAAAATACACCCTGCAGTACTGAGGAGGTAACTCTGAAGTAGTATATTACATTTAGTACAATGTCTTGTGTTCATTAGGAGACTTGCCTGGAGCACAAGTGTCAGGGCTCTGCAACACACTGCAAACCGGATGACCTCTCGAAAATAGGGGTCTCTTCTATTCATCAGTTTCATTATGACCTTGGAAGTTGCCTCAGTGGGTCACTGCTGCTTTCGGCAGGGGAAATTTTCTCTCTGGCTTTTGAAACCTGAATTAAACACAGAGTTCAGGAACACGAAGAGGTATTGCAGGCTTCAGCTATCTTTGTAAGTTACAGATCTTTACTTACTGGCCAACAGTACTTCCCTCATAAACCTCAGGCTGTAAACTTGAAGAATGTTCCTTCTGAAAGAGACCATGGTTCAGGGGACACCATAGAACAGGAGTGGGTAAACTACGGCCTGCGATTTAATCTGGCCCTTGAGCTCCTGCTGGGGAGTGGGGTCTGGGGCTTGCCCTGCGCTCACGCTCCAGATGGGGAGTGGGGTACGCTCCATGCACATGTGGAAACAGTGGCATGTTTCCCCTCTGGCTCCTATGTTTAGGGGCAGCCAGGGGACTCTGCGCGTTGCCCCTGCCCCAAATGCCACCCCTGCAGCTCCCATTGGCCATCCTGTATTTGTTCTGGAGAAACATAAAACTTCAGCCTTTAGGGCTATCAAACCAACACCTTCCAACATCATTGAATTCATTGACCATTGCAAGATGAGGGCTGGAATCCCCTCAGTGTCTCACACCTACTACTTAAGCCCTCCACAGAACAGAGAAATCATTGTCCTGACATATTTACAGAACTCTATTCTCTCACTGCTCTTCTAATGCTCTGGCAGGGGTTCCTGCTCACTAGAGTGAGGGCAACTGCTTGACTCAAGCAAATGACATATGCTAAGGGGACTCTTATCTCCCCATACCTTAACTAGAGGATTTAAGCCAGTTTAACACACACCTTAGTATTCTGGGCTGACATTTTCAGAGCAGATATGACGGGGTGGGCAAACTACGGCCTGGGGGCCACATCTGGCCCTTCACATGTTTTAATCTGGCCCTCGAGCTCCCGCCGGGGAGCAGGCTCCTGGGCTTGCCCCGCTCCAGCTGGGGAATGGGGTTGGCCCCACTCCACGCGGCTCCTGGAAACAGCAGCATGTCCCTGCTCCGACTCCTATGCGTAGGAGCAGCCAGGGGGCTCTGCACGCTGCCCCTACCTCAAAGCGTAGCCCCTACAGCTCCCATTGGCTGGGAACCATGGCCAATGGGAGCTGCAGGGGCAGCACCTGCAGACAGGGCAATGCACAGAGCTGCCTGGCCATGCCTCTGTGTAGGAGCCAGAAGGGGGACATGCTGCTGCTGCCAGGAGCTGCTAGAAGTAAGCATTGCCCAGAGCCTGCACCCCTGTCCCCCAACCTCCTGCCCCAGCCCTGATCCCTCTCCCACCCTCCAAACCCCCCTCGGTCCCAGCCCGGACCACCCTCCTGCATCCCCAACTCCTCATCCCCAGGGGAGTCCTCACCCCACCATCCCACTCCCCTGCCCGGAGCCCCCTGAACTCCTCATTTCTGGCATTGCCCAGAGTCCGCACCCCCAGCTGGAGCCCTCATCCCCTCCCATGCCCCAACCCCCAATTTCATGAGCATTCATGGCCCGTCATACAATTTCCATACCCAGATGTGGTCCTCAGGCCAAACAGTTTGCCCACCCCTGAGATATGATCAGAACAGGCTCATGGTCATGGAAGGCAGCTAAGTAAACTCCAGATCGGTTATGCAGTTCTCTAGGGAGCTTTAGGATAATATGAGTCTTTCCTTGGCTCCCATAGCCCTTAGTGCCTTGTTGCTTTGAGAAATGGTAGGTGCTAGGTTGCCTGTAGGTTCACACTCTGTGCTCCACTCAATAATTTTACTGATTCCGTTTTCTATAATACACACAAAGAGTTCAAAGCACTTTACAAACTTTCATGAATTAAGCCTCAAAACACCTTGTGAGATAAAGAAGTGGCATTATCTTCACTTCACAGGTGGGCAAAACGGAGAAACAGAGAGGTAAAGTGACTCACCCAAGGACACAGAGCAGGCCAGTGGCCAAACCGAGAACAACAGCCTAAATATGCTGAGTCCCAGTTTTAGGCTTTAACCATTAGTTTATGCTTCCTGTTTTCTCACGCACAAAACTTTTGGTTTTGTTGATATACCTCTGTCCCTCCCAAACATTTATAGCACCAGACAAATAAAGTAATAAACATGGGGAATACAATACCAAATTGTGAAGTTATAATTTATTATGGTGGGGGATTTCAGCCTAGATTACATTCTATTAAAGCACATTCACAGCTGTAAATCCTATTAAAGAACATAAGATATTTTTTGCCCCTGATGTTTATCACCACTTTGGATATTTAAAAAATCCTAAAATGAATATGCCAAGAAGGTTCAAATCAATTCATAAGAAAAGCCTGTTTCTGTCAGCACACAACACACCCTCTATCAGAAGGCAGCAAAGCTTAGAAAAAGCTACAATCCACAACCACCATATTGATAGAGAACACAGTGTTGCATGGGTCTAGATGTCTTTACACAAAAAGCATCACCAAGTGTTGCTCACAGGACCACAAGAACACCAGGGTGGATAGAAAAGGGACACAAGGAGCAAAGGTGGGTAAAAAAAAAATGTTCATAGAAGAAAAGTCAAATCTTATGCAAAATTAAAGGTGAATTTCTATCAGTGTTCAGTATTTCTAATTAGTTCCTTGTTTTTGGACAGGAATTCCCTTTGCCTCACCCCATTATGCTATTAGTAAGGGTATGAACCTCAATCAAAACAGATGTTAGATAAATCATCAGGTAAATTAAAACAAATTATGGAAGAGCTATAAAATCTGTAGTGGTGACTGTCCACCACCAGGGGGCAGTACACTCTTACTACATTGGCACTTCCTTCCTCCATATACTATGGCAATCAGATTCTGGTTAGGTTATAGGATTCCTAATAGGAAATCCATTTCAATGTACACATTGGAAACATAACACAATGATTTAGGCATCTCTCAGTATTTTTGCAATCTTCCTTCAGATTAAAGGGACTCCTGAATTAAAAATATATTTACAAGAACGTGCTTCTCACCAACATCATAGATGAGTAAAACAACAGTAGAAATCCAATTTACTTTTCACCATTTATTCTGCATACTGTTTGCATTTATAACAGCTTGGATAATAGAAAGCCTAGTCATTTTCACATTTGTTTCTAGTCAGCTTCAGTGTCTGGTCCTCAGGCACAAGACTAAAATATATGGTTGTAGCCACCGCACTATTTATTTATTTTAAAAACATTTTCCATTCAAATACTTTTTAAAAAAGGGAACATTTCTATTGATCATAGTTTTTCTAAAAGCTTATTTGTGCAAAATTTATGCACTGGGTCAAAAATTAACATGGTGCTGTCCCTGTATAATTAATCTGAAAGAACTGGCCCACTGGACCACACCCAGAGTTGATTTAAAGGGTACCAATTCACTGAAGTCAAGAGAGCTGCACCTGCTTACAGCAGGTCTGAAAATGGTCCAGTTAATCTTGCACACAATGGTATACTCCAATTATTTTGCCTTTTTCTAACACACATTTTCCAGTGTGTCTGGAAATACTACTGTACCTAACCACAATAAAAGAAATTAGACTTAAAAAAAATCACTTCACAAGACTCACTTGTACCAAACCAAGTAACTTTTGTTTGTTTGTTTGTGGACTCAAACTCATTAATTTGCTGCTGCTTCTTTCAGATGGCTAAAACTGACAAAGCCTGCACCTGGCATTTAAATTAAAATGATAAAAATGAAACAAAATTATTCCTCCTCACTTTGGAGATAAATTAAATCCTGCAATTTGCAAAGACTCCAGCAGAGGTTAGATCACTGTGGAAGCCCTGAATAGGAACATTTTCAAGGTTGGAAGACAATTACTTAAATAGCTTGTGTGTTTATTAATGGATTATTATTAAACACCACAGAATACAAACAGCATTTATAGACACAAAAGGGCCTCAACCCCAGAACAGGTCACTTCAAGTGTTTCCATTAAATACATTCACTTCTGTTGTTATAAATCTTCCTAGTAGGGTTGTAGACTAGAGAATGCTTCAGTATCTTATGATTTACTCCTAGGTCTCAGATGATGTGTTTGGGCAGGGAGAGCTCATCTTTTCACCCCACTTTTTTTTAATTAACTAACCCCTTTTAAAAGGGTCAATTTGAATATTGACAACCCCAAGAGTAAAAAAATCATGACATGCAACCCAGCCCTTCCAAAATTAGTTTTGTTTAAATGTCAGGAGATTTTTTAAAAAGTTAATCCCAGGGTCTGAGTCTGACTTCTGAACTCTTACTGGAAAGCCCCTAGCACTTATTCGTGTATGTGTTTCCAGATGACCGTCAGCCTGAGATGAACAACTATTGCACACATTTCCCTACTACTTTTCTCTTTCATTGTCAGATCTTCATGCAGCTACAGAACACTCTGGGCATCCTCTCCTTCCAGGACTGAGAAGGTGGGGGAATCAAGGAACTGGTTTCCATTTAATTCCCTCTATATAATTCACAGGTTGTCAAAGAACAGAAAAGGGACAAAAAACAGCAAACCAGTTTTGTGTTTGAATTTTTAAACACATTAACTGAGAAGACTGTAAACGCTGTGTAGACACTCCACAAATATTTGTTGTGAGTTGTATTTAGGCTGCAGCCTAGGGTTAAAAAACAAACATTTTTGTCCTGTGTCCACTAGAAGTTACAGGGACGTTAGTTAAGATGACTAAAAATCCCTGTGTGGCCATACTCTCATAGGTGGATACAGAACACTAAGTACTTCATATCCTGGAGGAAAAGAGTAGGACATTGCAAAAAGTGAAAAGAGCTGTAGCTGTTTCCAGGCCTCAGAGCTGGCCTTATCCCTTCCCTCCCCTCCCCCACAGACCCCACACTAAGTTTTATGGGCGCTGCTTTCCCATGTGCCCAGGCCCACTCACTGGGGAAGGAGAGCAATTTTAAAACAGATTGTGAAGTGTCCCGCCCTGCAGACGCATTCCTATTGCCAAGGGATCGGGCACCGTGTGTGACTGTAAAGGCTCCCAGGGCTCGGGGGGGGGCAAGGACGAAGTTCCCTCATTCAAAATGTCCCAGGGTAGGAAAGTCCCTCCAGGGGTCTCTCCTCCTCACACAAACCCAGTGCTGGCAACGCGGGGGGAAGAACAAGGTCTGGAGACGGGGAGGGATTAAGAGGTCTCTAAGGAGGGGGGAGGGGGATACAGGGAAAGCAGCAAACTGTGGGGCAAGGAGCAATGGGGCTCTGGGTGGGGAGGGGCCGGGGGCGAGTCTCTCTGGGGCCCCCCAGCAGTGAAAGGCCGTGGGGGGGGGCAGGGAGGGTCTCGGCGGGCGAGTCCCCGCCCGGGGCTCCTGGCGCGAGGGGGAGAGTCTCGGAGCTGCCCCCGCCCCCCCGCCCGCTCTCAGGGGCTGCAGCGCCCCGGCCCCTCCCCCACCTGAGCACTCAGCGCGGGGCTCCCACTCCGGCTCCATCCCGCCGCCACCCAGGCACCGCCCCCTCACTTCCGCCCCGCAGCGAGCACTTCCGGAGGCACGCGGCTTTCGGCGCCTGCGCCGTAGGACTGAGCGAAGCCGCCTGCCGGCCCGGGCCGCGCACGCGGCGTCCGCGGGGGCGGAGGGGAAGGGGGGCCGCCCTCTTTGCCTCGCCCCAGAGCGGCTGCGGCGCCCCCCCCGCCCCGAGCTGCGGGGGCAGGATCCGTGACTCAGCGCCAGCTCCGGGCCCTGGGGCCCCCGCTCCCTGGCAGCCGCTGGGCCCCGCCTAGCCGGCCCTCAGCCGCTCCCGCCTGCTGAGGTGCCCCCCCCGGGCTGCCCCCCCCGAACGGACACCGCGCAGCCAGCGACGGGGGGGGGGAGGGGGGCGCGGAAAAAGGAGCCCGGCCCTGACTCCCCGCCCCCACAGGCAGCGGGAGGGGCCGGGACAGGGCCTCAGAGGCCGTTTAAACCGGTGTCATTCCCACAAGCGCCAGCCGCAGACGCTGCCCCCCGTGGCCGAACAACGGCTCCGCTGGCCGCGCGGCCGCAGCCCCGGGGAGGAGGCCGCCGTGACCGCCAGCTCCAGCCCCCCCAGCCCGCCGCGCCCGCCCGCCCACGCCACGCACCTGTTGCGCAAGAGCGTCTTTCAAACCCAGCTGCTCTGGAGGTTCGGCTCTTCCTGGACAACTTAGTTCAGTTTCACCCACCGTGGGGAGAGAGGAAAAAAATAAAATCTCTGCCCCCAGCCCATTCCGGTACGAGAACGGCTGTAAGTGTAGGTCGTAGACCCTTAGAGACCTAGCCCTTTTCTCCTCGCGTAGGCCCCCACGAAGAGTAGAAAAGGTCATTAAGGGAGGTTTTTACTTAAGAAGGAAAATCCATTTTCTCGTTTAATGTACTTGAGAGAAATAAAACCAATCCTCCTACAGACATTGCTGATGCACAGACTCTTTTCTCTACCGCAAAAGCGCTAGCTGTAGGAGGAATGAGACAAGCCCTGGCAAGAATTTTCTTCAACCTTTAGCTGAACGGCTTCCACAGCAATCATTCCCCATTTGGTCTATTCCTGTGCGGCTGCAAGGACTTGACAGGCCGAAAGTCCAGCGGTACAGACTTGATTGCAAGAATACTCGTTTGCAAAGAGTCATGAACTGAATCTCAGCCTTTAAGAAAGGAATGAACCTGACTTGAGCAGGTAACCCAACACACTTTAAGAAAAGGAGGACTTGGGGCACCTTAGAGACTAACCAATTTATTTGAGCATAAGCTTTCGTGAGCTACAGCTCACTCATCAGATGAAGTGAGCTGTAGCTCACGAAAGCTTATGCTCAAATAAATTGGTTAGTCTCTAAGGTGCCACAAGTCCTCCTTTTCTTTTTGCGAATACAGACTAACACGGCTGTTACTCTGAAACCAGACACACTTTGGCATTCTAGCTGTCACTTCCAATTAAAAGATGTCTAAAATCTAAGTTTGCCCTCTGTTTGAAAAGTAACATGGAAAATTAAAATCTCCCCTTAAATAAATTCACTCCACAAGGCCAGCAGGAAGAGCCTGGTGGCATGTGTGAATCACTCAAGTTAACATTTAATGTACATCCACCTACACAAATATTTCCTCCTTTCTCCTACTCCATACCTAATCCTTCCCCTCCCCACTCCCCAACTGGATAAAACAGATTGAGGACAGAAGGTAACTGCAAATTAGCCCCAGGATAACAAAACTACAACAGCGCACTCATTCTTAAGGTTAGTGGTACTCAGGTATCCTGTTCTCATTTAATAGATATAGCCACATAACAGATGCATCAAAGTAGCAACTAAGCATTTTGGTTTTATAAAGTCTTGGGAAGGGGCCTCTCCTTGGCTAGCTCAGTGTGTTTAAGACACTTTTTTGATATGCCGATACTGTGATAAAAGTTGGCAACCATCAGTGAAAACCATGAACTAGCTTCCTCCCAACCAAAAGCAACCCACAGAGCAGGCAGTGACAGCTGTTGAAAAGTACCAGCTTAAGTCCACTACGATGTTCTTCCCCTGAGGGACATGAGGAACCAATACCTGCGTATCCCCATTGCAGTAGGTTCCACTGAAGCAATGCTGTCCGTTCTGCCTGCTTTATGCCATTAGCTGTGCCACAGTGCATACCTGAGGGCAGATCTCCAACCCTCTAGTTATCAAGCCTCAGAACTCAGCCAAGGCAATTCAGTACAGGCCACAACTGTCCCGATCAACGATCATCACTGTCTTCCTCACTTAAACCTTGTCTACATTAAGGAATTTTGCATGATGTAATTATACCAGTACAGCCCCCCTAACGCAGATACTACACTTGATCTTAGCTCAGAGTACACCAGCATTAAGTCAGCAATTCAGTTTAGGCCAGTAACATGCCAAAGTACATTATATGTTACATGCTACAGTACATGGGGTAACGTACCATATATTTGTGCATTCAGTTAACATTACTTATAGTGAAAAAGGCTCCACTCAAGATCCTGCCCACAGAGTGAATAGTGACTTACAGATTTTGATTTTGCTGAGACCTCACAACGTACTTATCAATGATGTGGTTAAACTTAAATAAGGGCCCCACAGTCCATCAAGGACATGTTAAAGTTCTGTCTGTAATCTGGTTTGAAAAAATCTAGCAAAATATTGCAAATATGGCATTTTCTTCTGTTTGGGGTATAATCTGTTAAACAACATTCTAGCAATACATCGAACTGACAGTCATCTTCACTCATATCTTCAAAGGAGGTCCATAAAGCTGCTTCAGTCCAGGCTCTGACTGGAAGATGGGAGAACCAGCTCTCTGTTCTCTCCTGCTAATGGGAATGATAAAAAGGCTGCCTCAGCTCCCTGGGTCAAGAAAAGGACTTAGGCTTCAAATTTTCCACAGGCATTCCCTGCAACAGTAGAAGTCAGGTCAAAGCATTAAGACTTGCATTCTGCTGGGCTTAAAGTCAGGGACTTGAGTCAAACCTAATTACAAATTGTGGACACTGCTTGTTCTCACTGAACTTATTTTCAATCTATGCTAATGTATACCATTTTTTAGAAGACCACTGGAATATACATAAATTAATCCACCTTGTGGGGAACATGCTAGGAGTTTCCCCTCGGCTCAGTTAGTAGATGTCAGTAGAACTGGTAATTATTGGCAGTTTCACTCTTCTGTGCCTCTCCACGTAGCGTTAGCTGTGAAATAGCTGAAGTCCCCTTTGGACGGAGAGAGACTTGCAAGCCTGCAGACAAGCCCTTGGACACAAGCTGTTGGCAGTACCTTGTGGACATTGCTGCTGAGGTTCTTTTAGTTTAAAATCTCACTCTGTCAATTCAGATTTCCTAGTTCACTAATGCCTACAAGAACCAGACATGAGATTCTCCATTTAAACAAAGCGGCTAGGAGACAAGAGAATCTACAGACCAGACATAAAGTGTGCTTGATTAAAGACACAGATCATCGTCTTTCTACATACAGAAAAACTTTTTCAGGATGCAGTCATAGGGACTTGATACTTTAGTGGTCATCCCAGTAATTAGCACACT